CACATCCTTGACTGTTTTGGGGGCGGTCCAATTCTTCACTGTTTCCACTTTTCTTGGGTCCATTTTAATGCCATTGGGTTCGATAATAAGGCCGAGATAAATGTTGCTTTGTGTATGAAATTCGCATTTCTCTGGTTTCAACAGTACTCCATTTCTTTGTAGGGCTTCCAGGACCTTTTCGACGTGTACTTGATGTTCCTCGAAGGTGTCGCTGTAAATAAGAATGTCGTCGAGGTAGGCTGTACAGAATATATCAAGGTAGTCGCGGACGCAATCATTGATGAAATGTTGAAAGGTGGCTGGTGCATTGGTAAGGCCGAATGGCATCACCGTGTATTCGAAATGTCCGTAACGCGTCCGGAAGGCTGTTTTCCATTCTTCACCCTCAGCCATCCGGATCTGATTATACCCTTCGCGAAGGTCAAGTTTGGTGTACCACTTGGCTTTGGAAAGACGGTCGAGAGTTTCCCGGATGAGTGGCAGCGGGTAGCGGTTTTTGACAGTGAGTTCGTTGAGGCCACGATAATCGACACAGAGGCGGAGTGTTCCATCGGCCTTTTTAACAAATAGGACAGGGGCGCTGGCAGGCGAAGAGCTGGCCTGAATGAAGCCTTTTTGGAGGTTGTCCTGTATGTATTGTTTAAGTACAATGAGTTCCTCACGGGACATACCATAAAGTGGTCCAAAAGGGGGCTCTTTCCCTTCCTTAAGCGGTATCTTATGATCGTAGGGGCGGCGAGGCGGCATCTCATTAGCAAATTTCTCGTCCATCATTTCATGAAACCTCTTATACTGGATTGGGACTCGGATTCTCCAGTCTTCCTTAGGGGCTTTGCCCATTGTTTGATCTATTTCCTCAATAGTTGTACTAAAGATTTGGAGTTTGTCCCTTCGAGCAAAGCGACAAAGAGCAGCTGAACTGACGAAGTGGAAACGGGGCGGTGGTGCAACCCCTCTAATGGGAACGGGTATCGCGGAAGAGTTGCATTTGCGTTTGCAGTATTCGGAGTCGAACAGTATGCTGTTGTCCTTAAACCGTAATGTGACGTCATGCAATTGGAGCCAGGGGATTCCGAGGACGAGTGGGTATGAGCCGAGTTTGGTGACGAAGAAGGGGATAGTTTCATGGTGGGAGTCAATTGATAGCGGTAGGTGGCAGAGGTGGGTAATTTGTCCGGAAGATATGGGCCGTACGTCAATGACTTCAAGAGTGCGGGGTGATTTAAGGGGAAGAAAGGGGAAGTTGTTATGGCGCGCGAATGTTTCATCAATGAATGCGAATCCGGAGCAACCGGTATCAATCAATGCGTGAGTTTGAATGGGTATTTTATTGTTTATAATTTTACAAGAAGCAACAAAGTGATCCCCATCCAATTTATCCTCCACAGACGATACCGAGAAGTCAGAGATAGAAAACGCAGACAAAGGAGAAACATTGGAAGGTCCCAGGCAGGGGCCATTGATCAAGCCCGGGACTACTGAAAACCCGACTCGGAGGAGGCGGGACTAGCGACCGGTGGAACAGCGGGGTCGACGGCCGTATGGCTGGGTGCGAGGAGGGCACCCCTCATAACCGGTTGGTTACCACGCGGGCGATTGGCAGAGGGGCAGTTGGCAAAGACATGACCAGGGTTAGCGCAGTACATACAGAGATTGTTGTCCCTTCGCCATTGTTTTTCGGCGGCAGAGGTTTTACGTTGTCCATTGACAAAAGTGTATCGTTGTTCGATGGCAGGGCGTTGAGTGGAGCGGCTTTGGAGAGCGGAGAGGTCCATTGGGGCGAGGCCTCCGGCGGTATGAGATGGGTGTGCGACAGCAGCGGGGGCGGTGAACTGTCCCATCGTATTCCGGATGGCCCGTTGTTCGGCTTTGCGGCACCGGACCTGGTTATCAATTGTCATCAACATGGTGGCATAGGCCTCGACGGTATTAGGCCTGTCTGTCCGGTATGTCATGGCATCCTTCAGGTCTTCCGACAGTCCTTCAGCCAGGGCATCGATCTTGGCTACTTCGTTGTAGTCCAGGTATGCCACGATACGGAGGAACTGCGAGTAATAGGTGGCGAAGTCCCCTTTGCCTTGCTTCAAGGTAATGAGTTGGCGACGGGCGGTACCCCGGGGGTCTGGGTCTCCAAATGAGGCTTCCAGGTGGGCAACGAAGGCAGTGACGGAAGAGAAGGGGGCGGCAGGGTTAGCGTTAACGAGTGGAACGACCTGGTCAAGCGCCCTTCCTTCCAAACGACTGACGGCATAGATAACCTTTGCTGCCTCGTTTCGGAATGGATCGTGGTTGACTTCAAGTTTCATCCGAAGTTGGGTGGTGAATCCGGGGAGCTTGGTGCGGGTGCCGTCGAATTTTTCAGGGTCTGGAAACTTTTCAGACCTGAAGGCGGGGACAGGAGCAGGTGGGGGAGCAGCGGCAACGGGGACAGCAACGGTAGCGGCGGGGGCAGCACGGGCGACATTGAGGTCGAGGTTGAGCCGGTTTATCTGCTCCTCGAGGTTGTCAATGGTTTCATTGGCGGCGGTGAGTTGTGTATGAAGGGTGTCCCTTTGGAAGCGGACGCGCTGGACGAGGGTGGCGATGTTGTCGAATAATTCAGCAGAGTCGGCCTCATACATCCGCCTGAAGCTTTCTACATCGTTGGGCGCAGCCCATACAGGTGGGTCGGGGGTGGACATGTCGTACGGTGCGGATGACGACGCAACGTAATCTCAAGGGGGTGTGTAACGAGTATTCCGCAGGGTACGAGGAGTGAGATAGAGGGTAATATGGGAGCTCGCAATAGGGGCACTACGAGACTCTAGCATTGGTAAGGTTCGGCGGGACACGGAGAAAGCGAGGCGGTGGTCTTCTAAAGGAAGAAGAGGACGATAATATTGTATAGCAATAAACGGCGTAGATACAGAAGACGTTGCGTAAAGAAAGAAGAAGGAAAAGAACGAGAAGTACAAACAACCCCCCTTAATAGACTCAAGGAAACCCCAGCGATGACAAATCCAACATGACTCATACATTAACAATCAACAGAACCCGATAGAAACCAATGGAACTTTCCTGACTAATCCAACTCTTCGTAACCCCGTACCTCCTGTAACGGGGGTCCTTTCTAAGAGAAATAGATTTGTATAGAATAGAGACGGCCGTGCAAGATAGACAATCAGGTTGCAGATTATTCAAAGATACTATCGCTAGAACTCAATAATCTTTAAGGGCTCTGCTACCGATAAGAACTTGGTTTTTCTTTTTGATGAAGACTGGAGAGAACAGGACTGAAGGGCGAGAATGAACCTGAGTACTTATACACCGAAGGCCTCTGTTCTCTGCTCCTAACTCCTTCACTAAGTTCCGGTGGGCCTTCCCTCAGTACCGGAAACTGTTACGGGCATGCCAAGCATTTACGGGAGTGAGAGAAAGACTAAGTAGATACCCCAATACCCTCTGATACTAATGGCAACAACACTATCGACTCCGGTTCGCACCCACGAGGTGCGGTGCGATCAATATGCGACCAAATGCGGAGTTGCGGTTTTCCTAGTTAAAAAATACGTTTTCGACCCCAATAATAACCCCCGGAGCGTCAAACCGCCGGAGGGGTGTGTTTTGGTACCGGTGGATATATGAGGGACAGCTGGAATCAATCGGATCGAAGATCGGACCGCTCGGAGCGAATCGGCGCAAGCTGCCAGCCGACCGAGTACCTATCGGCGGTACCTGTGGGCATGAGAGGACTCTGCTATGTGGGAAAGCGATGTGGGAAGAGGCCTGAGTAGGTAGCCTTGCCGTCCGAGACCTTCACATAGCCGACGCTGACGATTATCCACCAGACGGCCGATGGAGAAGAAACATCGACAGGGAAACGTGCATTAGAGTGGATAAATGGGTTGAGGGGTTTCAGCAGGTTTAGGAGTTTGGGTTACGGACTTAGGAGTTAAATGTTCTTGGTTGTTTTTCAGGGTCTCGGGCATGCCCCGAGTGTATTCTGTATTACTAGTAGATTGGGTCCTCGAGACATAAGCGAGGGATATAAAATACTGTGTCATTCACTGACTAGCCAAACCATCATCGGCGAAATCAGAGTCTTAACAATATAAATCGTTGATACGCGAGTTACAACTTTATTTGAATATACTTTTGGAATTACTTTACTCTATCGTGACTTCGAACTCTACCTGAACTATTACGTCGAAGACGGTCGAATACTATACGCTAACTCTAGTGAATCTTTGTTGATAACGTAGCTCGCGGGGCCCGTATCGGATCAAGGAGAATCATATTCGACGTTGACTGAAGAGACCTTGGGGACTTCTACCTTAGTAGCTGTTGGCCGAACTCTGAGCTCTGCGTAGTGTACTCTTGTGGTCTGGTACGCATCCCTCACAGAAACAATACCACCGCTACCCCGCTTTTCTCTAAGCGTCAGCAGGTGTTTCCGATACCCAAGGCAACCACCCTTAGTCAAAGCCTTTGTAACACCTGCAGCCTTGGTTGCCACACAACTGAGGGCCTGCATAAATGAGCTGCCGCTCAGGTGTAAGCTTAATCATTGCTGTAGAGCTTTCGCTTATTGTAGACTTCCCTAGCATAGCCCCTGCCCTTCGGCGGACTTACAATGCTCAGAGGATACAGTGGATCACCGGTCAATCAGAGCTTCACTCTGGCCGGTCTTCTAGACACTGGCGAGGCATAGACTCGTCAGTCATTGCTCCCATGAATAGATCCCCTTCCTAGCGCCCGGAATGTAGTTACTCTAACAGCTGGTAGCTAACCACACTGCCGGTACTTGCATATCACCGTGCAACTGGCTTCTAACAATAACTCTCAGCATGTAACCGGGCCCTGTATGTACTCATACACCAGACAGTTGAGATGGCTCCGTTACACCACTCCCCTCTTCCAGGATCTTGGTCTCCAAGATCTATAACCATTCTATTACCATTCATTCTATATGACAAGAAACTCCGTGATATGCAAGGAAATGAAAACCCAAAAGGAAATATCTACACCCCAACAATCCGCTTGTCCTTGGGTTTCTTAGGATACCTCATATGGAAATCCCGAAGGGCTTCTTCAGCACTCTTCTTGAGATGCTCCCAAGGTTCCCATGTAGCATCCTCGTTTTCATAACCTTCCCACAGCACTAGGTATTCCACTCGTCTCCTTTTCTTATTGACCCGGCTATCAGCTACCTCTCGGACAACCCAGTTCTGTTCTTCTTCAATCTCTTCGGGCTCCGATACAGGAACTCTTCTCTCAGGATCTACCGCTGCTCGGTAAGGTTCCAGAAGAGAGACATGAAAGACCGGGTGGATTCCCATTCGGGGGGGAAGAGAGAGCTTGTAGGCACGGGTACCAATAGCTTCTAAGACCTTAAAGGGTCCCATCTTCTTCTGATCCAATTTTCCCAAAGGCCGCTTTGTTTGCACATTGCGCCTGTCCAACATAACTTCATCTCCGGGCTTGATTTCAGGCGGTGTCAGGGCATGAGCATCATACCACCAGGCCATCCTTAATCTAGCTTTACCCAAGCTGGCATTCATAGCCTGCCAGATAAATTCCCATTGAGATATCATGACCTCACTCGCTGGATTGTTCCATTCTACTCCTTCCTTTGGGGACGGCCAGTTGGTCCTGGGTTCATATCCATAGTTGGCATAAAAAGCCGATACTTTGGTAGACTCAGAGACCGCCGAGTTATATGCATACTCTGCCAAAGGCAAGAGTTCTGCCCAGTCATCCTGTTGATATGAACAATAACTCCGCAAGTAATGTTCCAGGGTCTGGTTAACTCTTTCTGTTTGACCGTCCGTTTGTGGGTGGAAAGATGTGGACAACTTGAGCTTCACATTGAGGAGACTCATGAGGGATTGCCAAAAGTGAGAAATGAACCTGCTATCTCTGTCCGAGACTATGTCATCAGGTAAACCATGGAGTCTCCAAACTTCCTTCAAGAACAACTTAGCCAAATCTTCCGTTTTATTGAGGGTAGGAAGAGGGATGTAGTGTGCCATCTTCGAAAAACGGCCCACTATTACCCAGATCTTTGTAAACCCACTAGATTCCGGTAATCCCACAATGAAGTCCATAGAGATGGAAGTCCATGGCCGATAGGGTATCTCCAACGGTTGGAGCATACCAAACTTCTTATGTTTGGAGGTCTTATTCCTCTGGCAGCTGTCACAGCTCCGGACATATTCCTCAACATCCTTATCCATGTTGGGCCAAAAGAGGTTGTTTTTCACCCGCTCAAGTGTCTTAAATTGGCCAAAGTGACCCGCCACCTTAGAGTCATGGGTATCGGACAGTATTTCCATCTGAAGCTTCTTGTCTTTGGGTATATACCATCTATTCTTGTAGAAGATGAGACCGTTTTTGACCGACAAGTTTTGGTCCAAATTTGGTTTCCTTTCAACCAGGGAGCGGTGCAATTCCTACCAGAAACTATCCTCTTTAGCGGCCGTGTATAGGCGCTCTAAGAATGTATTCTGCAATTGATTCACCCTGACAGCCGCTAGCTTTGCAGGATCCAAAACCAATTGACCTGGCCTAAAAAAGATCTGTGGCTCCGGCTGCAGAGTTTCACCTCCCTCTCCAAGGCGGTGATCCCAGTGCCTAGATAGCATATCAGTCTTGCCATTCTTTTCTCCCGGTCTGTAGACAACTTTAAAATTGTAGCCTGCGAGGTCTTCAGACCATCTCGCTTGCCGCCTAGTGAGAACCTTGGTAGAATTAAATTACTCCAAGTTCTTGTGGTCCGTGAAAACCGTGATCTCTTGCTCACAAGATTTAAGCAAGTGTTCCCATTCCCGGAAAGAGGCTACAATAGCTCCCATTTCCTTATCATGAATGTCATAGTTGATCTCAGCAGGGGAGAACTTCTTAGAATAGAATGCCACCGGATGTAGCTTCCCATCATCCCCATACTGAGAGAGCACCGCTCCCTTCGCAAAATCACTGGCATCTGTCTCGACCACCGTTCTCCTACTAGGGTCAAAATGAAGTAGGATTGGAGCGCTTGTGAACAGCCTCTTGAGTTCTTCAAAGGCCTACTCATGTGCTGCCGTCCAATACCATTTCTTGTCTTTTTGCATGAGGTCAGTTAATGGCTTGCAAACCTTACTGAAGCCTTCAATGAAGCGGCGATAGAAGTTTGCAAATCCGAGGAATGCCTGTACTGCCTTGATATTCTCAGGGACCGGCCATTCCTTAACTGCCTCCACTTTGTCTTCTGACATAGATACTCCTTCTTCTGAGATGTGATAGCCTAGGTATTCTACTTCTCGGACATGGAAGGATGTCTTACTGATCGAGGCACAGAGCTTAGCTTCCCTAAGCTTCTCTAGTACCTTCTTGACCAATAGCTCATGCTCTTTCTCAGTCTCCGAGTAAATGAGGATGTCATCGATATAGACAACTACTCCTTCATCCAGTAGTTCCTTTAGCACATCATTGATCATTGCCTGGAAAGCGGAGGGAGCATTGCATAGACCAAATGGCATCACATTATACTGATACAGTCCATAGCGGGTTCTGAAAGCGGTTTTCCACTCATCACCTTCTGCTATCCTGATCAAATTGAAGCCGTTCTTCAGGTCTATCTTTGTGAAGATCTTGGCCTTGAACAACCTGTCTCTGAGCTCACTCATGATAGGCAGCGGGTACTTGTCCTTGACAGTGACCTTGTTCAATCCTCTGTAATCCACACAAATCCGCAATGTACCATCCTTCTTAGGAATGAACAATATGGGTGCCGCAGCAGGGCTATTAGATCTAGAGATTTTTCCTGAAGACAGTTCTTTGTCCAGGTACTCTCGGAGGGCCTTCAACTCTGGAGCGGAACATGGGTACAGCGGGCCAAATGGTGGAGCGGTCCCAGGCAAGAGTTTGATCTTCAGATCATTATGGGAATGCGGCGGCATTTCCTCAATCTTCTCTTGACTGAACACATCAGCCCAATCCCGGTATAGGTGGTGTATTTTCTCGGCAATATCACCTCCGTCCTCATCATGCCATACTGAACCAACCAATTGATAGACTGTCTCTTCTTCTTCTAACATTTGGTATGGAGAGATCAGTTCAATCTTGGTGGCCGCTGGGAGACAATTCTGCTTGCAGTAGTCACTCCTCCAGCTCATGGTGTTGAGTTCCCAGTTGATGTCCGGGTTATGCTTCCTAGCCCAACTAATTGGCAGGTAACCGGTCATTCCTTCTTCCAAAGTAGCCACTTCCCATCGGAGTGTCTCCTTATGATCTCCCATAGTCATGCGGACCGGGTGAGTATAATACTCACCTCCTCCCATCATGACATCTCCTTGAGCATCAAACATTGTCAGAGGTTGATCCCGCCGCACTAAGGGAATTCCATACTTCCTGACAAAACTCTGGTTGAGGATTGCTCCTGTACAACCGGTGTCAAACAGGAAAGATCCTTGGGCGCCTTCATCCTTTCCTTTGACTGTCCATGACAGTCCTGCCTTCAGTATAGGTCTTTTTCCATGTACTGGTAAGGAAGGAAGCCTCTGTTCCAACCTGCTTTGCTTAACAGCGGATTCTGGAATTGTTTCTCTTTGTCTTTTCAACATAGCTAATAGCTTCGGGCACTACTAAGATCAAAGATCCTTTGGTTCTATTCCCAAGCGGTAATATAGCAGGTATGATGTGTAGTAATTTTAGTAGTGGTTGGGAGTGTCTTCGTAGCAAATATAACTTTGGTAGAGCACTGACAGACCAGCTGTTTCGGGTCTTAAACCCATCCTCAGAGTGCTTGGAGCAATCAAATAGGCGGAAACACAATCATAATTTATTCAAGAGAAACATAGAAACCCCAAAACCCATATAAAAGAAAACTAGTAAACATAGACTCAAACAGACTCTTTTCTACCAGAGGATTTCATTGTCCGAGTCTTGCTCAGGCTGTAAAATAAAATCTTCTGTAACCTCCGGGAGTACAACAAGTGGATCTTCTGTTACAACAGTAGCCACTTTAGCCTTCTTCTGAGAGTTGGAATTACCCTTCCCTCTTTTCCGCTTTTGTACTCTCACTGCTGCCACTCGGACAACAGTAGGTTCCTTGGACCAACAATCGGTCCATTTGTGTCTGGACTTGCCGCACTATTGCACAAGTCAGTGTATGCACTCTACCAATAGGGAGTACCGGAAGGTCATACCTTCAAGCATACTTCTGCTTTCCTTCTTTCTTCTAGAATATCCCCCGGGATACCCTTCAGTTCCACCGCTTTATCCTTAGGTCCAGGAGTCTTCTGAGTTCCGGAGGAGCTTGCAGCTTCTCTTTTCCTCTTAGGCTGCTGGTCCTTCTGAGCGGGAGGATCTTCCTTGGTCCGAGGGTGCGCTTTCTCAGCTGCCATCCCTTGGTATCTCTCATGAGTGTGCCCTAACTCTCTTAGAGCAGCTATCCGCTCCATCAAGGACTTTGGCTTGGGATTAAAAAGAGCCCAACTCATGCCTAGGTCCGGGAGGAGGGAATTATGAATCTTATCATCCACCAACTGACCCTCATAGCCAGTCTTCCACATCAGCTGAATAATAGTATTCAGGAAAAGGTCTATTCCTCCTCGAGCTGTGTGGGTAAGAGTATTCCATTGGGCTACAGCATCATCTCGAGAGATGGCTTCACCGAAGGCTGCTCTAAAAGCATCTACAAAGGAATCCCAGCGCTTCCATCTCAAATCCAAAGTCACCGGCATTCCAGCAAGGCGGTTGGCGGAGGCTTGATCAATTGAATTGTGGTATGCCTCATACCAACGGATCGCTGCCTCTCCTTCCATCAAGTTGCCCGCATATCGGATCTTAACCTCCTCAGAGGTAAATGACAGGCTCTCAATGGAGAACACATTCTCACATTGCCGGATGAAGGTCTCCACCTGCTCCGCTTTACCTTGGAACTTGGAGGGTGGTGGTGCCTTTGGTTCTCGAGCTCTGGTGGAAGTAGAAGGGTGGGAGGTGGCCGGAGGTTGATACTGCTGGGACATCATAGCAAACAAATCCCTTTGTTGCTTCTCCAACTTCTTCTTAAGGTATCTCCGCCACCCTCTTCTGTCACCACCTTCCAGTTCCGAGTCTGAACTGTCAGAACTGTCTGAGTCTCCAGGAGCGGGAGCGCGGGCCACGGGCGGTGGAGGGTTCTGGTTCCCACCGCTTCCACCCTGTACATTGGCTGGAGGGGGAGCGGCGGCCGCAGCAGGAGGAGCCACAGGTGCTACTGGTGCCGGGTTGCTGGCCAATGGTGAGGTTGCTGCTGGTTGAGCGGCCCCAGACATGGTAAACCTTCCCGGGTTCCTGGCTAGTGGGCTGGGAGGTCCTCGGCCTGCACCTGGGTAGAGTTCTCCCTCATAGTCAAAGGATCGGTCCGCTAATCCAAGGAATGGGTTTATTCCTACAAAACGGCTAGGAGGTAGGGGAGATACCCCCACCGCTGGCTGGACAATAGGAACAACTCTCCTAGTGGATCTGACCGGAAATGCTGCGAAGGGACTGGTCTTCGGCTGCATTGTCCTGGTGGCTGCCCTGGACGAGGACCTGGGGCCTGGATTTGGTGCCGGAGTTGCTGGTCTCCCTACCACTAGCCTTCCTTCATCAAGGGCTTTCTGTATCTCGGCAACAAAATCTGGTGGAGTTGCCGGGTTTGTCCACTCAATCTCCATGGCATCGGTTTCCAGTTCATCTCTCTCCGCATACTTTCGGAGTTCTTCCTGGACAGAGTTGACTTCATGCCTCATGTATTAAAGAGCTTCTGCCATCAGAGCATTCTGTGCTGCCTGGCGCTCTTGTACAAGGAGTAGGGCCTGACTGCCCCGGGTCAACTGATTCTGCAGGCTATGCTGGAGGTAGGTCTGAAGCTCTGTGAAGAACTGTTGGATGGAAACCTCGTCGGTATCCTGCCAGGCAGGCTCACAACCGGGAATGTAGGTCTGTAGAGCGGTCCTGGGTTTCTTGACAAGCTGTGTCTGCCCGGTGGCATCAAGCTGGAGGGGCACCGGCTGCCATTCAATCTGAAGGGGTGCATCTGGAGCCGAGAGGGCGGACATTTTGTATAGAGGAAGAATAATCTGAAGGTGACTTGAGCCTTAAAGATTATCTGTAACGGGGGTCCTTTCTAAGAGAAATAGATTTGTATAGAATAGAGACGGCCGTGCAAGATAGACAATCAGGTTGCAGATTATTCAAAGATACTATCGCTAGAACTCAATAATCTTTAAGGGCTCTGCTACCGATAAGAACTTGGTTTTTCTTTTTGATGAAGACTGGAGAGAACAGGACTGAAGGGCGAGAATGAACCTGAGTACTTATACACCGAAGGCCTCTGTTCTCTGCTCCTAACTCCTTCACTAAGTTCCGGTGGGCCTTCCCTCAGTACCGGAAACAATACCACCGCTACCCCGCTTTTCTCTAAGCGTCAGCAGGTGTTTCCGATACCCAAGGCTACCACCCTTAGTCAAAGCCTTTGTAACACCTGCAGCCTTGGTTGCCACACAACTGAGGGCCTGCATAAATGAGCTGCCGCTCAGGTGTAAGCTTAATCATTGCTGTAGAGCTTTTCGCTTATTGTAGACTTCCCTAGCATAGTCCCTGCCTCTTCGGCGGACTAACAATGCTCAGAGGATACAGTGGATCACCGGTCAATCAGAGCTTCACTCTGGCCGGTCTTCTAGACACTGGCGAGGCATAGACTCGTCAGTCATTGCTCCCATGAATAGATCCCCTTCCTAGCGCCCGGAATGTAGTTACTCTAACAGCTGGTAGCTAACCACACTGCCGGTACTTGCATATCACCGTGCCACTGGCTTCTAACAATAACTCTCAGCATGTAACCGGGCCCTGTGTGTACTCATACACCAGACAGTTGAGATGGCTCCGTTACACCTCCACTAGTCGATCCATGAAATTAGCGTATGGTATTCGACCGTCTTCGACGTAATAGTTCAGGTAGAGTCCGAAGTCACGATAGATTAAAGTATTTCAGAAAGTATATAGTCAAAATAAAGTTGTAACTCGCGTATCAACGATTTATATTGTTAAGACTCTGATTTCGCCGATGATGGTTTGGCTAGTCAGTGAATGACACAGTATTTATATCCCTCGCTTATGTCTCGAGGCCCCAGTCTACTAATAATACAGAATACACTCGGGGCCTGCCCGAGACCCTGAAAAACAACCAAGAACATTTAACTCCTAAGTCCGTAACCCAAACTCCTAAGCCCACAGAAACCCCTCAACCTATTTACCCATTCTAATGCACGTTTCCCTGTCGATGTTTCTTCTCCATCGGCCGTCTGGTGGATAATCGTCAGCGTCGGCTATTCGGAGGTCTCGGACGGCAAGGCTACCTACTCAGGCCTCTTCCCACATCGCTTTCCCACATAGCAGAGTCCTCTCATGCCCACAGGTACCGCCGATAGGTACTCGGTCGGCTGGCAGCTTGCGCCGATTCGCTCCGGGTGGTCCGATCTTCGATCCGATTGATTCCAGCTGTCCCTCATATATCCAGCGGTCCAAAAGCACTCCCCTCCGGCAGTTTGACGCTCCGGGGGTTATTATTGGGGTCGAAAACGTGTTTTTTAACTAGGAAAACCGCAACTCCGCAATTGGTCGCATATTGATCGCACCGCACCTCGTGGGTGCGAACCGGAGTTGATAGTGGTGTTGTCATTTAGTATTAGAGGGTATTGGGGTATCTACTAGCCTTTCTCTCACTCCCGTAAATGCTTGGCATGCCCGTAACACTGCGGCATTGGCTAATGGAGTGCGAGATCTACTTCGAGCAGAAGCCGAAGAGGTTCCGAACGGACAGGAATAAAGTACTGTTCGCTGGAACGTATACGTGTGGGTTGGCAAAGGAATGGTTTATGGAGTATATCGACACCAAGATGCTAGGCCCGGCAGCTGCAGACTACGCTACTTGGACTCGGTTCCGTCAGGAGATCCGAAAACGTTTCCTAAGTACTCAGGAAGCTATGGAGAACGCAATGAAGATGCAGCAGTTTAAGTACTCTACGAACATCGGGGACTACCTAAACAAGATGGAGATCATGAACCAGCATGCTCAGATGAAAGGGGCATCCTACCGTGCCGCCCTGCTTCAAGGGCTACCAAATGAAATCCGAGAGCGCCACTCACGCTTCGACCCAACCGATGACGACTCCGAGTACATCCAACAGTTGGAACGAGCCGGCAAGGCTCACAAAGCTTATCAGGAGCAGATGAAAATGTTGGGGAAAGCAGAGTCGAGAGGGAAGGAGCCGAACCATGGTGGGAACTCGCGGCAGAAGGAGAAGGGGTTTAAGATCAAGGGAACGGCTCAGACTGAGGAGAAGGAAAAAGGACAAGATAAGAAGAGCACCAGCAAGAACAAGTCAGGGAATAAGCCAATATACCACGACTACGACGAAGCCACCAAAGGAGTTCCACAGCCGGTCCGAGAACAGCGAAAGACCGATGGTGTCTGTGTGCGATGTGGCCGAAAGGGTCATCTTTGGAAATGGTGTCGTTCAGATGCTAACAGTAGTGCATCTATCTCCTCTTTCTCCCGAAAGCGTACCCGCGATGACGATGGTGACCATGAGATGGAACCACCGGAACCCCAACCTCAGAGAAAGCGTATAAGGCACCGTGCTAGAAAGCCGGCTGCTACAGCTGCTGCGGGGTATACCAGTGGGCAAGCGTTTGTGCGAGAACGCGGATCGGAATATCAGATGGATTTCGACAAGGATTTTTAAAAGGGGACTCTGATGAGTCAGGTCAGGAGTATCCCCAGATTGCTATGTTATCACTGACGGAAAACAATAAAAAAAATATGAAAAGAAAAAGGCAGGAAGGGAGAGCGTCCCAACCGGAGAAAAAACAGAAAATTTTGGAGGAACCTATTCACGGTCCTCGACCTATCGTTAATCAGTTTATTTGTTTTGCAGAAAAATATTTACCGTGTAAGGTGTTGTTGTATACTGGAGCAACTGGTCCTGTTTTGTCTGCTGTTTTTGTTGATAGTTTTGAGGTCCCGAAGGTAAAACGAGACGTCCCGGCCCGGGTATTTGGATTTACGGGAGAAGTTATGAAGGGCACGGGACACACCTTTACACAACCATTAATTATAATGTCAAGGGGGCATCAGACGCAACTATCATTCGAGATCGCCCCTCTCCCGGTTGGCATTGATGCAATACTACCGAACTGGTGGTTGAAAGAACACAAGCCGGTTATACGGTCAAATGGGGAAGTTTCCTACGATGGTGAGAACTGCAAGAGTCGATGCTTCACTGACAAGGAACCTCAAATAGAGATGGACGAGGGTGTATTGGACGATCCGGAGGCCCAATTCATCGGTAGCATTTGCCTTTTGGAAGATGAATCGGTTAACCTCCGCGAAACTCTTCCCTCTTGGCTCCATAGGTTCCTTAAAGTCTTCCTACCATCGGAAGCTGACAAGCTGCCACCGCATCGATCTTACGACCATGCTATAGACCTCGAACCAGGGAAGCAGCCACCATGGGGACCCGTTTACTCCCCATCCGAGGTCGAACTGAAAGTGCTTCGGGAGTACCTGGACAAAATGTTGCGATTGGGAAAGATTAGGCCGAGCAAATCCCCGGCAGGAGCCCCAATCCTATTTGTGAAGAAGAAGGACGGTAGTCTGCGACTTTGCGTTGACTACCGTGGACTTAACCGTGTGTCCATCAAAAACAGGTATCCGCTACCGCTTATGGACGAACTACGAGACCGAGTGGCAGGCGCTGTAATCTTCTCGAAGATTGACCTGAAGGAAGGTTACTACCTCATCAGGATCAAAGACGGCAACGAGTGGAAGACAGCCTTTCGTACGCGGTATGGGCATTTTGAGTACCTCGTTATGCCTTTTGGGCTGGCAAACGCGCCGGCGAGCTTCCAGAACATGATGAATGATGCGCTGAGGGAATTCTTGGACCAAGGTGTAGTAGTATACCTTGATGATATCCTAATATATAGCAAGTCTCGAGAAGAACATAGGGAGCTGGTCGGCAAAGTATTAGCAGGCTACAAGAATACAACCTGGTCGCCAACCCGAAGAAATCGTTCTTCGAGCTCACTGAAATCGAGTTCCTCGGATACATCCTTGCCCCAGCAGGCATCACCATGGCACTGGATAAGGTCATGTCTGTTACGAATTGGCAAGCCCCGCACAGCGTTAAGGAAGTACAGATCTTCATGGGCTTTGCCAACTTCTACAGAAGGTTTATCCACAACTTCTCCGGGGTCTGTAAACCCATTACCGATTGTCTCAGGGGTGATGCTCAGAACTTTGTCTGGTCTATGACGGCCCAAGCAGCCTTCGAAAAACTCAAAACCCTGTTTACGTCTGCGCCGATCTTGGTACACTTCTCTCCAGATCGCCAGACTATCGTGGAAACGGACGCAAGTGATTTTGCTATCGCCGCAATTCTATCCCAGGTTATTGACGGAAAGACTCACCCTGTTGCCTTTTATTCTCGAAAACTTAACCCAGCGGAACTCAACTACGACGTGTGGGATAAGGAGATGCTAGGAATTGTGTCGGCCTTCAAGCAATGGCGTCACTACCTCGAAGGACCTAGCCGAACGGTTCTCGTTTATACGGATCACAAGAACTTAGAGTACTTCTCTACAACCAAGGTTCTTAATCGACGACAGGCAAGGTGGGCTGAGTCTTTGGCGGAATTTGACTTTAAGATTATTTACCGCCCGGGAACCAAAAATGGGAAGGCAGATGCACTATCGCGACGGCCGGAGTACCGTCTTGAAGGGGGAGGCACGCTTGGGAAACAGCCGATAGACAGGTTCTTTAAACCCGGACAGTTGGCGGAGGAAGAGTTTGTGGTATCAGCGGTGTCGCTTGCCTCCAAGGGGGTCATTGACTGGTCTAAGAACTTTCTGGATCATGTCAGGCAGGCGGCATCGGGAGACCCGACATGGGTAGGATTGAAAGAGAGAGTTGAGCAGGGAGAGAAGCTGGGGGAAATGAAGGATATCGCTGAGAAAGATGGGCTACTCTTCTATAAGAACCGGCTCTACATTCCGGCAGACGACCGCATCAAGATCCGAATTGCACAGTCAGAACACGATTCGAAGGTGGCAGGACACTTTGGACAAGACAAACCTTTGGAACTCATTACGCGCAACTTCTATTTGCCAAAAATGAACGAATGGATTGATGATTACGTTCGGTCATATGACGAGTGCCAGCGCAACAAACCCAGCCGCCATAAGAAATACGGTACGCTTCTTCCACTGTCCACACCACATTCCGTCTGGCAATCGATATCAATGGACTTTGTCGTGCAGTTACCGGAATCAAAAGGATACAACCAAATCTGGGTAGTAGTCGATAGGTTCTCGAAGATGTCGCACTTCATCCCCCTAGTAGCAGAAACGACCGCGCAGGATTTAGCGAAGATATTACTCGGTCAAATCTGGCGACTCCATGGGCTGCCTCTTGATATAGTTTCCGACAGAGATGCCAAGTTTACTTCAAGCTTTTGGGCATCCCTTATAGAATTGTTGGATGTGAGAATAAGAATGAGTACGGCTTTCCACCCTCAGACCGATGGGCAAACAGAGCGAGTTAACCAAACCCTCGAGCACTACTTACGAGCGTTCTGCAACTACGAGGAAGATGATTGGGCAGAGCTACTCCCGTTGGCGGAGTATGCTTACAACAACTCAGTTACCACCGCCACCGGTCAATCTCCGTTCTATACCAATTACGGTTACAACCCAAGAACCAACTGGCCGACGGAAGCCGAAGTGGTCAACCCAACCAGTGACCTGTACGCTCACTTCATCCGAGGAGTTCACGACTCTGCTCTCGCTCGCTTAACAGACACCAGGGAGAAGATGGGGAAATACTATGATCGGAAAAGGGACGAATCGCCTAACTTCAAGGTGGGAGATATGGTTATGCTTAATGCGACCAATATCAAGACACGTCGCTCTACCAAGAAACTCGATCAGAAGAAACTCGGCCCGTTTAAAATTATCCGACTGGCCGGGAAACAAGCCTGTGAATTGGAACTGCCATTGGAAGTCAAGATCCATAACGTGTTCCACATCGAACTCTTGGAACGCTATCGACAGAGCAGTATCCCAGGCCGCGAGCAACGTCCCCCGACGCCCGAAGAGGTTGATAAGGAAGGAGAGGTTCTGTACGAAGTGGAAAGTATTGTGGGAAGCTGGAAGAGCAGAAGAGGATTAGTGGAATACCTGGTGAAATGGCGGGGCTATTCAATGAGCGACTGTACTTATCAAGTCATGGACGTCATGAACGAAGACGTACTTAATCTAGTCCGCGACTTTCATCGAAGGAACCCCAAGGCCGTGAAGGACCAACGCCTGAGACTATAGAGGTACCCTACGGGGCTAAGTCCTTCCCCTCCACAGACACCGCGGGTGATATGTGGAGCAGGTTTACTGGAACCATAGTCTGTCAGAAGATGTCCTGAGACGTGACACCCTGGAAGGGGGGTAAGCTGTTACGGGCATGCCAAGCATTTACGGGAGTGAGAGAAAGGCTAGTAGATACTCTAATACCCTTTGATACTAATAGCAATACCACTATCAACTCCGGTTCGCACCCACGAGGTGCGGTGCGATCAATATGCGATCAAATGCGGAGTTGCGGTTTTCCTAGTTAAAAAACACGTTTTCGACCCCAATAATAACCCCCGGAGCATCAAACTGCCGGAGGGGAGTGCTTTTGGACCGGTGGATATATGAGGGACAGCTGGAAGCAATCGGATTGAAGATCGGACCACTCGGAGCGGATCGGCGCAAGCTACCAGCCGACCGAGTACCTGTTGTCAGTACCTGTAGGCATGAGAGGACTCTGCTATATGGGAAAGCGATGTGGGAAGAGGCATGAGTAGGTAGCCTTGCCGTCCGAGACCTCCGAATAGCTGACACTGACGATTATCCACCAGACGGCCGATGGAGAAGAAACATTGACAGGGAAACGTGCATTAGAGTGGATAAATAGGTTGAGGGGTTTTAGCGGGTTTAGGAGTTTGGGTTACGGACTTAGGAGTTAAATGTTCTTGGTTGCTTTTCAGGGTCTCGGGCAAGCCCCGAGTGTATTCTGTATTATTAGTAGACTGAGTCCTCGAGACATAATCGAGGGATATAAATACTGTGTCATTCACTGACTAGCCAAACCATCATCGGCGAAATCAGAGTCTTAACAATATAAATCGTTGATACGCGAGTTACAACTTTATTTGACTATACTTTTGGAAATACTTTACTCTATCGTGACTTCGAACTCTACCTGAACTAATACGCCGAAGACGGTCGAACACTATACGCTAACTCTAGTGAATCTTTGTTGATAACGTAGCTCGCGGGGCCCATATCGGATCAAGGAGAATCATACTCGACGTTGACTGAAGAGACCTTGGAGACTTCTACCTTTGTAGCTGTTAGCCGAACTCTGAGCTCTGCGTAGTGTACTCTGATGGTCTGGTACGCATCCCTCACAAGCGCCTACCGGTCATCTGCCACTATTTCCTTGCACTGGGCCGGCATCCTCCGGTTGCCTGCCTCCATTTCTTCCTACCGGGCCAGCTCCTTCTGGTTGCTTGCCGTTCCCTGATGTTTGGGGCCCAGCATTTTGGGGGTTCTTGCCATTGCCAACAAGAACCGTTCGGGGTGCATCAGGGTCTAAGGGAGCACTAGCCACGGAAGGTGCTACTGACAGATGTTGTCGCAGTAGTTCCTCCATCTCGGGTATCCGTTGATTTCTTGCTTCGTTGGACTGCTTGAATTGCGCAAACAGCTCCCGTTGTTCCCCTTTTTCCTGCTCCCGCTCTTTTCTTGCGACCCTCAGTTGTCGCTCCACCTCCGACAGTTGATTCTGGGTAATCCGATGGTTACGATCCAGAACCTTGTAGTCGGCAGCTCGTGTGGCTTCTTGTACTTGTCGAACATTTTCCACGAGCTCGAAGAGCGATTCGAGATGTTGTTTTTGGGCAATGGCTTCTTGCCGTACTTTCTTGTCCAGGATTTGCCCACTTCCTTGGACTTGTTCCTGGAGGTTTTGTAGCTGCTGCCAAACGGCCTGTCCAGCTGAACCAAGATACCTCATTTGTGCCTCATGGGTATCCAAAAACTCCTGCATATTCCTCACGAACTGGACTTGAGCAGAGCGTTTACTCGTTGACCTAGTTTCTGTAGAGGGTCCTCCCGTAAGTAGGGGATCTGGGCTAGCAGCCCTCGATATTACCATAGAATCTTCCCCTCCGGCCTCCTCAGTTATGGCCGAGGTATCTATGAAATAATTATCCCTTCGGGTAATCATTGTGATAGGGGATAATGATGATAGTTCTTTTTTTTAGGTGACTTCGTTACTCCAAGTGAACTTGTGAGTAACAATATACTGTGAGGGATGCCTACCAGACCACAAGAGTACACTACGCAGAGCTCAGAGTTCAGCTAACAGCTACAAAGGTAGAAGTCTCCAAGGTCTCTTCAGTCAACGTCGAGTATGATTCTCCTTGATCCGATACGGGCTCCGCGAGCTACGTTATCAACAAAGATTCACTAGAGTTAGCGTATAGTGTTCGACCGTCTTCGACGTAATAGTTCAGGTAGAGTTCGAAGTCATGATAGAGTAAAGTATTTCCAAAAGTATAGTCAAATAAAGTTGTAACTCGCGTATCAACGATTTATATTGTTAAGACTCTGATTTCGCCGATGATGGTGTAACGGAGCCATTTCAACTGTCTGGTGTATGAGTACACACAGGGCCCGGTTACATGCTGAGAGTTATTGTTAGAAGCCAGTTGCACGGTGATATGCAAGTACCGGCAGTGTGGTTAGCTACCAGCTGTTAGAGTAACTACATTCCGGACGCTAGGAAGAGGATCTATTCATGGGAGCAATGATTGACGAGTTTATGCCTCGCCAGTGACTAGAAGACCGGCCAGAGTGAAGCTCTGATTGCCCGGTGATCCTCTGTATCCTCTGAGCATTGCATGTCCGCCGAAGAGGCAGGGACTATGCTAGGGAAGTCTACAATAAGCGAAAAGCTCTACAGCAATGATTAAGCTTACACCTGAGCGGCAGCTCATTTATGCAGGTCCTCAGTTGTGTGGCAACTAAGGCTGCAGGTGTTACAAAGGCTTTGACTAAGGGTGGTTGCCTTGGGTATCGGAAACACCTGCTGACGCTTAGAGAAAAGCGGGGTAGCAGTGGTATTGTTTCCGGTACTGAGGAAGGGCCCACCGGAACTTAGTAAGGAGTTAGGAGCAGAGAACAGAGGCCTTCGGAGTATAAGTACTCAGGTTCATTCTCGCCCTTCAGTCCTGTTCTCTCAAGTCTTCATTAGAAAGAAAACCAAGTCCTTATCGGTAGCAGAGCCCTTAAAGATTATTGAGTTCTAGCGATAGTATCTTTGAATAATCTGCAACCTGATTGTCTATCTTGCACGGCCGTCTCTATTCTATCCGATTCTATTTCTCTTAGAAAGGACCCCCGTTACAGATGGTTTGGCTAGTCAGTGAATGACACAGTATTTATATCGCTCGCTTATGTCTCGAGGACCCAGTCTATTAATAATACAGAATACACTCGGGGCCTGCCCGAGACCCTGAAAAACAACCAAGAACATTTAACTCCTAAGTCCGTAACCCAAACTACTAAGTCCACTGAAACCCCTCAACCTATTTACCCATTCTAATGCACGTTTCCCTGTCGATGTTTCCTCCCCATCGGCCATCTGGTGGATAATCGTCAGCGTCGGCTACTCGTAGGTCTCGGACGGCAAGGCTACCTACTCATGCCTCTTCCCACATCGCTTTCCCATATAGCAGAGTCCTCTCATGCCTACAGGTACTGACAACAGGTACTCGGTCGGCTGGTAGCTTGCGCCGATCCGCTCCGAATGGTCCGATCTTCAATCCGATTGCTTCCAGCTGTGCCTCATATATCCACCGGTCCAAAAGTACTCCCCTCCAGCGGTTTGACGCTCCGGGGGTTATTATTGGGGTCGAAATGTGTTTTTTGACTAGGAAAACCGCAACTCCGCATTTGGCCACATATCGATCGCACCGCACCTCATGGGTGCGAACCGGAGTTGATAGTGGTGTTTCCATTTATGTTAGAGGGTATTGGGGTATCTACCAGCCTTTTTCTCACTCCCGTAAATGCTTGGCATGCCCGTAGCACATACACCAGACAGTTGAAATGGCTCCGTTAAATGCGGGGCCTGTATCGGACTAAGGAGATTCCTACTCAACGTTGACTGTTAGCCGAACTCTGAGCTCTGCATAGTGTACTCTTGTGGTCTGGTACGCATCCCTTACAGTTACTCTAACAGCTGGTAGCTAACCACACTGCCAGTACTTGCATGTCAATGTGCGACTTGCTTCTAACAATAGCTCTCAGCATGTAACCTGTCCCTATGTATACTCATACACCAGACAGTTGGAATGGCTCCGTTACACCATTATGAATTTAATGTATCATAGAACCTAATAAAATCATCTTAAATCTCACACATAAATTACTACATACACTTCACATATCAGCCCACACCAACAAGTCTTCCTCGAGAAACACCATCCCTTCATGGAAAAGCACTTGTATATAAGTACAGTAATGATTGAAATCCCTAATTAACCCAAGTGGATTTGAAGTGTAGCACTTTTAATCAGACTATATTACTAACTAAACACCCGGCACGAATCACACCCCATTTTCCTGAATTGTATTCCTCATTTTCTTGTATAACACAGTTAATATGATTGCAAGTGAACCTGGTCCGTCCGTAACCGTCTATCAACATCCAGCTAAACCCAAAGCGGCCATCATTAACCTATCCCTGACTAAAGATATTCTTCAAAATCCAATTTATAAACCGATATAGAAACTCCTATCAATAAAAAAAAAGTTGAAACCCTTTCAAAATATTTGGAAAATATTCAACAAATCTAGGCAAACCTGTCAGAGAAGTCAAGGAAAAAAAAGAAGGAACTTGTGTGGAAATAACAACACAGCGAGAAACAGGCTGCAACCAATTGTCATCGCCTTGAAGAAGACCTAAATCAACCCAGTAAGCTTTATATTATAAACCAAATTTTCTTATGCTAATTTCTAATTTTTATAGAAAATTACTGGCCTCGGGAGGAATCTGAGCCATTGACAGCAGCTGAATCAAGTTCAGAACAAGAATCGGCTGAGGTGAATGAGAATTAAACATAGTGGAGAACGAGTTTCTTTTTATTTTTATTTTTGTAAGGACATCGTTCATTAATTCAAATCACTATTTTCGGGGTGGAATTTTTCTTTTCCAAACAAATAGCACAGAAACTCGTACTGTAGGGTGATGGGGTTGAATGTCGTTGTTCCTTGGGGCGGTTTTCTCAACAACGGCTGCCACACACCTCTAACCCACCAACCGTGACCTTTTCCCAAAAAAACACCCATATGGTTTTCTTGTAAATTGATTAAAAACCCTTTTTGTTTTTACCAAAGTTACTTTTCTTTCGAACATGTACGGATGCACTCGGGGCCTAGCCTGCTGGTAAGTACATGTGCATGTAGTTTTATTCAGATCCTTCCCATATTGGTTAAGCTGGCTTAGAAGATTTTTTTTAGAAAGGCTTGGTAGTGGGGTGAGAATTCATGATGCGGATGTCTCTCACATATTTGATAAAGAAGGGCCCAACTAGCGACGATAATCTCTCATTCCTCTAGATACAATTAGTTGATCTTTCCAGATTATATGCACCCCACCCCCAACCCACGCATGGTGGGGGAAGGAAGCGTGATACCAATGGGTTTTCATTTATATTGAGGGTAATAGTCGCTTCATTCTCATACTGATGGCTCATCCATATATAATCTATAAATCAAGTCATTCATCAGTTGTAGATTTACTAGATCAATAAACAGCAACAGACAAATCGAGGCAGTAACATCCCATATAGTCAAGTTGCGGACTATACCACATGTAGGCTATAGGATTAAAGCTTGTATCACAATCACTATTGCATACGATGTCAAGTTTTAAAGACACATATTCCTACATGTAGTATTGAATACTCCTATCAGCTCAGAAGCCATACGTATGTACTTACATGTAAATAAGGTCAATGCACTCCTGTGTAGCAAGAGGATAAATACTCGGCATGTTTTAACCTCAATCGTTTATCTTTTGTTGACCCGCTCTTGTGCGCATGAAAATGAATCCCTTTTTTAGGTCTAACGACCACAAGATATCCCGCAGTTCCTACTCTGAGATTGAGAAACCGAAATCAAACGGCTTACTTTCTCCTCCATCTACACCATTAAATCCACTCAAAAGAAGAAGTGATAGGGCTCTATCCAGCAAAATATTCATTTCAATCCGAAATTTCTTCAAAATGGGAAGTAGGTACAAACATATTGATCACCTCGTCCTTTATTGAGGCTTATATCCGCTAGGCCCATCTGCCAATACTCATGAAGCAATAAAGCCTCTAGAAAGGCCTGCCGATACACCACCGGCAGTCCTTACACAATTGCCGTATACAATGTAAGCTCTGGGTTGCCATTTAAATGATATGTGATTTATAACCGATATATAGATTATACCGGAGACACTCTTTTCATGAGCTGAGAGAAAGTACTCAACTACTGCACTTGTCCGGTGGTCTTTCACGGTATCGTCTATCACAGTTGTGTGATGTTACTGGAGTAATAACTCCAGATATTTCACTTTATTCTTCGCGCTCTAGTCCATTTCTCAACCACCATGGACCGTCTTTACGACGCTGTATTTCTCAAAATCTCTTCGCACCCACTGTCATCAGACGGCCTAAATTACGGACAAAGGGAGTCGAATTTGACCTACATTCGATTTTCAAATTATCCGATATCCCTAAAATACCTCTGGACTTTAGATCTGAATTCACTCCATCACTAAAAACAATAGAGATCACATCAGATGTGAAGATATACCTGGAAACCCATTTCAATAATATCTTGATAAATCCGAATATCAGATCAGTGCGCCGAAGAGCTATGGAATGTCGACTCGAAGAGTCGGTCTCTGCCGTATCCGAGAAGTCTTACTACCGCGAAGTCTGGAGACGGAAGGAGAGCCAGTATCTAAGGGATATACGGACAAATAAAGTTACAATTGCAGATTTTGAGATAATAAAGGTCATTGGTAGAGGTGCCTTTGGCTGTGTTAAACTTGCAAGGATGAAGGAACGTGTTGCTGTTCAGGCCAATTGCTTAGATGAACTAAAACTCGACCACGACTACAACGATATTGGTATTGCCTCCAAGCCAAGCCGGTTTAATCAGCCCATTCAGCTCAAGGAACTTGATACTTCAGACATAAAGCAAGTATTTGCTTTGAAGGTGATCCCGAAGGCTGAGCACCTCAAAAACGGACAAGAAGGCCATCTACGGGCAGAAAGAGACTTTCTAGTGGCTAGTGAGGGTAGTCGCTGGGTCGTGCCCTTGATAGCTAGCTTTCAAGACGATGACAATTTGTACTAATCGTGCCACATATTTCCAATTTGGGGGAAGGTGCTTACATACCAATAGGTATCTTGCCATGGAATACATGATCGGCGGGGATTTTCTGGGCTTATTAATTGAGAAAGTAACGCTCAGCGAGGAAATAACTAGGTTTTACGTTGCAGAAATGATTCTTTGTATCGAGGAAGCACATAAGCTTTCTTATATTCACAGGGACATCAAGCCCGGTTAGTCGACCCTTCTTCTTCATACCAACTTCTTTTTCTAACTTACTATATCTCTCAAGATAATTTTTGTTTTTCCTCGTCTGGTCATATCAAGATCTGTGATTTTGGTCTTGCATTTTCCGGACACTGGACACATGACGCGGCGTATTTCGATCACCAACGCTGGGGATTATTAAGAAAAACTGGGGTTTGTGTCGAAGGGGATAGTATCGATAGAAAAGAAGGTAAGGATATTACCAAACTTTTGAGATCGTGGAGATGCGGAGAGGTTCCCGATAACGAAAGGATCCTGAGCTGGCGAAACAAGAATTGTAAACGGAGAATGGCCAATAGTGTTGTGGGCACATACCAGTAAGCTCTAACCTTACTACTTGCTCTATACACATGTGATATGTCCATATTGATAGGTTAATCAATAGGTACATGGTTAGTAATTTTCATTTAACGAGGTTTTCAGTATTAATTAAACAAAGGCGCCGGAAATCCTTCGAGGACAAAGGTATGATGGTCGATGTGATTGGTGGAGCCTTGGAGTAATAATCTATGAGGTTTGCCCTCATCCCATCTCAAGGATAAGCAACCAAAACCTTAATTATTTCCATTAGTGTCTCTTTGGATTTACTCCTTTCTATGCTGACGACTCAAATGAGATTAAGGCAAACGTCTTAGTCTGCCCCCATTTCCGTTCTTTTCATGAAAACTATTTACTTAGTTCACCGGTAGGCTAACATAATATACATACGCTATAAATCATTAGAAGTGGTCCAGCCATTTAGACCTGCAAAAAACACCCCCTCTTTCTTCTGAGGTCAGAAGTTTGATTTCTTCTCTTATCTGTGAAAAGGAGTGTCGACTTGGTATGACAACATATGGTGGAAACGATATTCAAGCATTGCCTTATTCAAGCGCAACTAGACTGCGTCTAAAAAGCAATTCGCCACATTTTGTTTTTTCAAACGATTCTGATGAGATTAAGGCACATCCCTTCTTTTCACCCATCAACTGGAAAACATTACACAGACAAGTTCCACCGTTTATACCAGAAGGATTGCAAAACGGTGAAGATACTAAATATTTCTCTGAATATCACTTGTCAAGCACATGCGTGACAGAGATTGAAACTAGTCGGCTACCAACGAGTCAATGGGTAAGCATCCACAAGGACAAACCTTGTTTAATTCATTACACAAGGACAAACTTGGTTAAATAAAATTTCACTAATCAAAAACAGGCTCTTACACCTACCAGATCCCCTCTCAACGGGCCCAAGTGTATCTATACACAAGAGAAGAAACAGGACACCGAGAATAATCACCAGAGTGTCGCCAAGGACGACAAAGGCTTCGTAAATCCAAAACCCAGCAAAAGACCGAGGGATATATTACTTAGAGATAAAGAGTACGGGAAAGAGCTCTTAGAAATAAGACAAAAGAATGCATTCAAAGGTTACACATATAGGCGACCCTACTGCATGGATTCCTTCTTGAATTGAGGAATCTAGTAACTCTAGCTTGTTTATCAGTTAGATGACGCCCTGAGTTTTCCCGGTTCTTGTGATAGATCTTGTGGGATAAAATACTTCATCGGTCTCTTTGTTACGATGACTACAGATTACTACACAACGGAAATGGTAACAGAAGAATCAACCCTACATGTATGGATAAAGGAACAAGAATTGGAATACGCACACATCGCAGGCCCATGAATATAAACTAAAATAGCAGTGACCAGAATGTCTCTTAACCAATGCTGTATCCTATTCTTTTTTCTCCATTTCCATGACAGCCTGTACCATTGCCTCCTCTTCATCGGTATCGAAGGTATCGCCGTAATTTCCCTGATCTCCGTCCTCTAAACCCAAGGAATCCTTAGCAGAAGGGACATCTTCGTCCTTGGTGCTTTCGGGAGGTGCAACAATCTTCTTGGGCGATTTAGTGCCATCGAGATTCCAGTCTACTTCACTATCGAAACCATATTGCGATATGAGCCACTCATTGGCCTTCTTAAAATGACCACAATCAAACTAAACAGCGGAAGAAACTTAGTACTTTCATAGATGCTTCCCATTTGGGGGTATGGAAAATGTTTTACTTACAAATCCTCTGCTAGCACTCAACGGACTGGGGTGGACACTATTAAGCACTAAGTGTTTTTCTTTATCAATTTTCAAGACCCTTTTGGCAGCATGTGCACCCCAGGCCATGAATACAACGCCTTGACTACGTCTTTGGGCGATGATATCAATCGCCTTCTGAGTAAGTTGTTCCCATCCTTTATTGGAGTGTGAATTTGCATCCGAAGCCCGAACGGTCAAGCAGGCGTTCAGCATGAGGACCCCTTGATAAGCCCAAGGGGTTAATAGCCCGCCTTTATTAGGAGGGGGCCCAAATGACGGATAATCTCTCTTCAACGCAATATATATGTTTTTCAGGGACGGTGGTGCGGGTGTCGGGGATCGTACAGAAAACGACAACCCCATTGCTTGATTCGGCCCATCTATCGATATACATATTAGATTTCAATATGAACAGGTACAAACAGGGGGCGAAGAGCATACGATAGGGATCTTGGCCGAGAATCACCACCTTTACCTGATCAATAGGAGTGAAACGAGTCCTGTCGTGTGAAATACCTTGCGTCAGTCAATTGATTGAAGGCACAGACATACAATTCCAGCGAATAAAAATTTGTCCGTACCAGGAATATATGTCTTCTTCTGGGGGATATATAGTTTTTCCGCCATCCTTTTCACTTCTGAGAAAACGTTTCAAAGAGAGAAACTCGGGGGTAATCAATTCATCCTTAAGAGCTCTAAACCAGCTTTGCTCCATCGTGTTGATTTCAAGCTGAAGAAGTGACTTATGTTCATCAGAAAGTTTGGAAGCCCATCTCTCCTTATCAAATTTTGGTCGAGTTGTAGTTGAAGCCTTTGGGGCTGAACCGGCGGGTGCGGATGATGATGCAGCTCCTAATGGAGCAAAGAACGAAGTTATCGCCCGAGCTTTTTTAGTAATAACTGCTGGAGATTCAGTAGCTTTCCGCTTGATGTTTCCCGACATTCTTGGGCTTTCTCGTTGAGTGGTCTGCAGGAGAGTAGTGTACAAGGACACGGGATTAAGAAATTTTGAGGAATATCACTAGATTTCGTGATGTGACACCAAACGCGGTAGGAAGTGGTAGAGGAAGTAACATCACTAGATTGAGTTTAAAAAGACCCCTGTACGTTCTTGGATAAGTCCTAAATTAATACGCGAGATACTTTTAACCACATATGGCTCAGAGGCTAACTCGAACAGTCAACCGATTGCATGTCATAAATAACAGATTAGTCAGACTGATGCTAAGTCTTAATCCTCAAGCCTTGAACGGTTTTAGCGTCGCCTTTTGTATGCGGAGGGCTGACAACCAACATCGATTCTGGAGCCTACAAGTTACACTTACTGGTACTCAATTTCAGCTCCAAGTCATCGACACAATATTTAAATTTCCAGTATATCATAAGATATGCATATATTGTAGAGTACATATCCATCATATTATCCATACCAACCGTGATCCCATGGCCAGTCATGTCCCAGAGTGGTCAATGCGACAGGTATTTATAGAATATGTGTGTCAAAATTGTGACTGTTAATACCACAGTTTGAGTATAGCCAAAAGCTGACTGAAGCTTGTAAGTAGTACCTCTGTATCTGTCCGTACCGGCCTTTATCATGATTTGTTCCCTTCTCAGTAGGTGACTTGCTAGAGAGATCAGCACCTATATGAATCAGTGTTCCTTATTCAACTACTAAGTACGGGTAGGAATATTCAAAGAAACAAGCAGTAAGTGGATTTTGTGTGCAGTGTGTGCATATAGCTACATAAACGTATCTGACAAGTGTTTTATCTGTATTACCCAAATGTTTGGGCTCATCGTTCTGACAGTGGATGACCTTTGGTGATGGGTGTAAAGGTCTAATCCTTTTTCAAACCGCCTGAACATACGCGCAGTGGCCATGTTTATAAAACTTTGCAGTCTACTATAAGATTTATGCACCTTAATAATAACATTGGCTTCAGAGAAACCTAACCCCATTTAGACAAATCCAAAGATTCTTTCAGACTACTGAATCTGGCACTGGACTACATTGAACCTTTAGCCTTTTCTGCACCAATATTATTGCATGTACGTATGCATCAGTAGTACATCAAAACTACAGCACGCCTCGATAGAATCCAAGATGATATCTTGAGGCAAAGCTCCTCAGTCATAGCTTTAGTATCATGCAATACAAGAAGAAAATAAGAAAAATCTCCCAAAGTCAAACGCCAAGTCTCTTTGCTACTAGCAATTCACCTAAAGAAGTTACTCAGGATGTAATTATCGGCCCTAATCAATATCGTCACCACCACCGGTGTAAGCTTGGCCCGAATTGGGGACAGGTGAATATTTATTAACTAGCGGCGCCTGTGTACGTCGGGGTGGTGGTGGTAGAGAGCTCCTAGGCGGCGGGGGTAAGCTTCCACCCCCAGCTACGGCAGGCGACCCTGTCCTGCTAGGGAAGTCGTGCTCTAAGCTTTTTTGCTCCTCTTCCTTCATATATGCATCCATAGCTGAGCTATTCATAGGATGTCCATGACGATATTTATGCCGCGAAGTCCCCTTTGCAGGCGGGGGTGGGGGTGGTGGCGTGGAAGACATCTGCTGTAAGTTTGTATAGTGGGGAGATGGGGATGGCGCCTGGAATGGGCTTTGAGATGGTGCGGAGTATTGAGAAGCGGCAGGTATGATGAAAGCTGGCTCCGTAGGTGGGAATTGATTGAGACCACTCTGGTCCGGAGCTGTGTAATCGAAAAGGGTTTCACCTGGAGCCTGGGGGGGCTCAGTTAATGGAGCAGGAAGTCTGTGGAGAGCACCAAATCCCAGCATACATCCTAGAGCACCCTCCCCGCCCCAGTTACGTCGAGGCGTTATTGTTAATTCACGAGTAATATCATATTCGTGGTTGTAGACGTAGAGGCGAAGGGGTCGGTCAATGTGCTGTTTGTTTTATATCTATTAGTACTACGGACACATTTGAAAAACATTGGACTAACATCTTCCACCAGCTCCCCCAACCCCGATTCTCCACGGACGATTCCCTCAGGGGTTCCGATAATATAATCCCCATATGGGAGGAGACCAGCATGGTCTGCAGGTGAATTAGGTGCGACGTCCAATATATGCCAAACATCCTCCGTAACAGTAAGCGGACACCATTGTAGTGTAAGTCCAAGACCAGTCGCATCTGGTGGTAAGGCGATCATAATATCTCGTAGCCGTTGTCCCTGGAAATTTGTTACCAAAATGTGTTAAGGTAGCAGTAGGCATTGAATATACCTTGGCAGACCACACTATTAAGGTGACGTCTCGACCAGCACAGTTCCGTACCTCTTGTGTGAATAGCAAATGATTTCCATCCTCCTACAAAGAAAGGTGAGGTTAGTATCAACTGTATTTAGTAGGATAATGGATACTTACGATTTGTCGACCATTTATTCCGCAGACAAAATCAAACCAGGGTTCTACTTCCAACTGTGAGCTGATATTTCTCAAGACCTGAAAACCGAAGCCGTTTCCAGGACCGCGCGGACGGTCCTCAACTATGGGGAGAAATTTCTTTAGCCACGACATTTATCACGATGATACTCTTTGTTGAAATGCAGCGGATGCGTGATGCTAAGTGAACAAGTGTCGTTGTTTTATTGATACCTGCCGGATCTGAGGTTTCACGTGATGCCAAGGGTGTGTGGATGAATTGGGACTGGGAAGGAGCCTGCATGTATGCAGTACCTAGGGCTTTATGCTACAAGTCGGTTTATAAGTACTCTGGAGGTTACAAGTACTCTAGAGTAGGTAGGAGGAACTTGTGGAATTAACATTCAAGATCAACCCAAGAGAAGATCGAGTATGCGTGAAGTGTGAATTGTCTCCGAGCATGAACTTTTGAGTCATTGTAAAATACAGGTATGCAAATCGGTACCAGAAAGAGAATAAGGAGAAAGTTAACCACAACAAAGCAATGAAGAATAAAAAGATGCAATCCCGACCAACCCAGCCGTTTCCCATTCACGGTAGTCATTACCCAAACCCCAGTAGATCTCATATCAATCACGGACTTCAACTTAAGATTGCCAGTTTATAATTTTTTTTTTTCTTTCAAACCATTTATTTGAGCTTACAATTCATCGTGATCAAGATCCTACAAAGATAAATGTAATTAGTATAATAACTTTATAAGAAAGGGCGCTTGACGAACCTCATCAGTATCGGGAATAACAGCTTGGCTAGCATCTTTAACAGCTTCCTTGACCTTGTCGGTAGCCGCTGCTGCCGCCTCGCCGAGACTCTCGGCAGCATCTTGCTCCGTAGACTCCTCCTCGACCACTTCCGGTTCTGGTGGTGGTGCAACATAAGCATCAACCTTATGAGCGCCATTGGCCTTAATGAAGTTCGCAAGATCTTCAACGGTTCTAGAGCCAGCATAGTCAACGGGTGAATCCTTAGCACCTGACGGGTAGAGTTTGATGGTCGGGAAGCCCTGGATATCAACTGGGACATCATTGGCGGTAGCGTCGACCTTCGCCACAATCACTTTACCAGCATACTCCGAATTATCAAAGTAAAGCTTGGCCAACTCTTCATACTTGGGTGCCAGGTTCTTGCAGTGGCCACACCAAGGAGCGTAAAATTCGACGAGAACGTCCTTGTCGTTGTTCATTACAAGGTCTTCAAAGTTGTTGGCGACAATAACGTGGACAGGTCCCTCCTGAGTTTCAGGTACAGGTTCTGACTTGATGCTGGGCGCAACCTTCCCCTCAACGTAGTCCTTAACGAATTTTGCAATAGATTTCTCAGTAATTTCTGTCTCTTGGTCGAATGGAAACTTTAGGTTCTTGCCGGTGTCTTGGATGGCGAAGGCAGGCCATTTGCTCTCGAGGTTGAGATTGGCGGCGTGCGCACCGAATGCCACAGCATCAATTGTGGCGAAGTTGATTTTGCCCTTGTATTCGGTAGCAGTAGGCCTAATTGCAGCAATAAGCTTTTCCTTGCTCTCTTCGCTATCAACGAAGATGTACGCAAGAGGGAGTCCAGCAGCCATGTATCCTGAGTAGGTTTCAGGGCCAACTTCACCAATCAAGGGAGTAGAGGCAGTATTGGCGAAAGTGATGATCTCAGTAACATCAAACCTTCCGTCAAAGACGTCTTTTCCTTCATCAAATGACTTGTAGAGAACGATGGCAGGGGCAGTAACGCCATCGGCTTCTGCAAGTGCAGCATCAGATGTGGCACCAAAGAGGAAAGAGTCACGGAGTGACTCAGCCACAGCGGTAAAAGTAGAGTTGGACTCCTTATCATCGGCGTTGAAATAACCGACAAGCACAACCTTATCGGCTGTCTTGAACTCGGAAATTGAATCCTTATCCAAGAGTGAAACCGCAGGAAGAGATTGTTTGACCATGTAAGAGACAATTCTAACACCCCATGTCAGTAATGGTCTAGAATTTGTCAGATAGATTTTCACTTACGAATCAGACTTCCTCTGGCCGCTGTATGGAGAGTTGTTCTCAAGCCCGCGGAAAACCTTGATTGTGGGATATCCCTGTACACCGTATCTCTCGCAAAGCTCGGTTTCCTCGGTGCAGCTACAACTTTGTAAGCACAATTTCTTAGGCAGAATTGTAGGATATAGCTTACTCAATTTTGGCAAGGTGAATGTCTTTCTCCTTCAGCTTCGTAGCCGCATCTTCATACTCTGGGGCAAGGGCCTTGCAGTGACCGCACCACGGTGCATAAACTATTCATTATACGTGAGTAAAGGGACACTTGAAATCGGCTACCATTGCAGTGGTCCTTCCTAATTCACACAAGGAAATTTACTTACATTCAGCGAGAACAAGAGGGTGTTCGCTGACAAAGCTGTCAAATGTATCTTTCTGCAATACCTTGACGTCCGACGCAACATCTTCAGCATAAGAAACAGCGGCCAAAAGCGAAAGCACGGCAAAGCTAAGCTCTTTAAACTGCTTCATTTTTGAATTGAAAGTTGGTCTGGAAGGTAATGGTGCACTAAGAGTTAGGGTGAATGATATGGTATAAGAGTCGCGAGAGAGAGAGATGTAGATGAGAAGTTTGGAGATCAAGGAGGAGCTACGGTCTTCTTGAATGCAAAGGCAGGCGGCGTTGCTCAGACCCAGGGTTAGGGTGTTAATCAACTAGCGTAGATGATTGGTTGAACTAGCAAAGGATACTGTGGTCTTTTGGCATACGGCACACGGCTGAAACTCCCTTACTTGCAGCTACCCTTGCTGATATCTGTCCTTTCATAGATAGAGTAAACATTTGTGGCCACATCTCTCCTACTAGTCGAGGTAGTACGGGAAACAATTTGACCGGATGATGAATAATGCCGGCTAGCTTACCCATCTTCCATATTATTCACGTTGTTGGGATCTTGGGATGCAATCGCCTAGACTACATGTAGCAGACGTACTGGGGGGTATCGACATTGTTATCCATAACACCGGAGAGCCCTGATACGAATGTCAGGTGCTACATGTACCTACATCACGTAGATTGATGTTCAGTAAAAATTTCATCCCATTTTTAGCCAACTTGAATTTGAGCCAACCTACATGATAAGAGGTCGCTCATGAATTCAGACCACAATTCCATTCCCATTTAGTACCATTTAGGTTCGTCATGATGGCCCAAATAAAAATCCAATATCACATTTTTTAGACAGCTGCAGGTACGTTACCTACTATATATTAAAATTCATAAATTACACGGCGGGCGCCATAATGAGAATTGATCAGGTAAGTACATGTACATATGTATTTAGGGTCCAATATTGATATACTTACAGGTACATGTACGCATTATTACTTGGTATGGAGCACAGAATTTTTTACAAGTGAAAATTGAAAAGGAAAACTACATGTACACAAGTAGCAATACGCACATGTATCCAATTGTGGTGGCTACACCATGTATACATGTACTCCCGTCTTCGTATATACACATCGCAGTTGCATGCATAAATCATTTTATTCAAGACGCAAGATCTTATTCCAATTTTACAGCCTCTCAAAATTTTACTTGAAAGTTCCATCTAGCCCGTCTATATACCTTCGTTCACCTCCAAGTTTGACAAACTGCCAAAATAAACGGTCAACGCCTGATAAAAGCTGTTAGAAGGATAGAAGCGACGCACACAACGCCAAATGATCATGAAGGGTCTGACCTTGCTCCTTTTTTGTATACAATAATGTATGGCTTGGACTCTCTCCCCTTCAGGTACCATTTTTGCCACCTGGTTCAAATTAGATGTTCGTGGAATGTATAATGCAATGTTTCTAGAGACGTTCAAGGCTTGTTCCATGATATATGACCTAGATTCAATTATCAACAGTCGGTTTTTTTCGGTGTGGGCGCGGGGGAAATTAGCTTGTGGGCTTTCCTACCCGGTGTACGGCTCCATAGTATCAAGATCGAAGATCTCATCGTTCCTGTATGTTGGCCCCCCCCAAGGCGGAGATAAAAAGACTGCATCGGATTTCAATTCTGAGCCTCGGGTACTGATGAGTTCGAAGAAATCTCCTACAATGAATTCAATCTTTTCTGATACTCCATATATTTGCGCATTGTGCTTTGCACATAGTATAGCAGTCGGGTTTTTGTCTATCGCAATGACACGCTTACACGACGTCGAAAGGGCAAACTGTATTGTATTGCCACCCACACCGCAGAAGGCGTCAATCACAGTCTCTGCTCCAGATCCGAAAATGTGTTGGGCAATCTTCCTGTTTCAAGGGCTTAGCATATTTCTAGAACACCTAGAGATAAGAAAGCTTACTCGGCAACTTTTTCTGGAGTAACCTCGTACCAGGCATCATGAGTCATCCAGACGCCTTCATTATATCTGGTGAAGAGCTTCTGTCGTTGTCTCCAATAACTGAGTGGTAAGAGCCAAATCAGTATGTCGCTGTGATGCATAAATATAAAAAGGAGCAGAAATGGAACCTTAGAATTGCACCTGAGGGCGGATTTTCTTCCGTGTAAAAAGGAACATCATGGGGCCGTGAAGAATTGGTTTCACTACCAGTACGCGAGATGTCTTCTAACAGAAAATCTTCGCTCGGCTTATGGCGTTGTGGCATAACTTTGGAGCACGAAGAGCCAGGGCGTTAGAAGCTGGCTGAGCTGCAATGGATGAAGGCCAAGACGCAAATACTCCAGTCGACTTAATTAAGCAGGGGGCGCCACAAAACTACACCTTGGGTACCTCATGTGCCACAACACTTGGAACTGGCCTATCATAATGGCGCGTTACTACATACATGTATATGCCTGTTACGTCCAATGGTGCAAAAGCGTCACTAAATAATACATGTAATAATAATAATACGAATACGAACGTATCCCTAACTACATGTGCTAGCCACACAGAAGACTGCGTGCTGTGCTATTTTGTATGCGTTCAGGTCCTACCATGCCAGGCTCTATTCTTATTGATCCACTAACTACGCTCGAAAGCTCTAAGGATTTACCTCTGCAAGCCTTCCTCTTGGAAGCCAGTATATAATGAGAGGTTTTATAATTAGGGGAATAGGAAACTCTATTCAAAATCAGGTTTAAACAACATGAATTACAAGCTATAGTCCTCGAAAAATAGTACGTGTACAGTCGTTTCTGGGTCAACGACGAACCTGGCTCGATGACGAATGGCTACTTTTTGCGTTGATAGTTAGTCAAGGCAAAGGGATCGGCGCGCTTTTGTTGGCTTTTGTTGGCTTCGATTGGCCTATTCGCCATCGAACCGGTTTCGTCGTTGACCCAGAAACGACTGTAGAGCTTTCTTTTCAGCGAGTCTAGAAAAAATCATTGTGGTCGATCGGATTCGTCAACCGGCGCCTGCATGGGTATAGGTACTGTAGTTTACTGGCTTCTAGGAGCTGCCCCGCCAATAGACCTAACGCGCAGGTTGCGTCGCCGGTAGAGTGCCAACCGCCCAATGTACCCCTGAATAAGAATAAACTCATCCACCACACGTCAGCCAGGTCCGGATCCCCTCCTTCCTGAAATCTTACAGTAGAGTACCTACCTACAGAGTATGCGCAATACCTACAGAAACGCTGCACGTAGCATCCAAAGTTTTCTTTTCTTATTTCCAACTTCCAAATTCTAGATACTTTACAACTTACCACAACGCGTTTCTCTATCCCCATCGCAGACTTTTTCGCCCCACCTTTACACTCATTTTATCACCCCCACCCCCCTGGTCAAGGCTTCTGGAATCCATCATCGGCGTTACTCTTCTAAATTCTCTCATTTGATCTATGATCTGACGCGACCTGGAGTCGTTTGATCTATATTTTATAGCTAGTCAGTTACGCTACCCACACGATGCCTATAGCTACACTATCTTGAACTTACTTTCCTCCTAGGCCTGACAATAGGTGCTTCACCCTTTGTTAAAATAATCACCCATCAAGATCTACAGAAATGGGCTTGATGCGTCGTGACATTGCCGGCGATGTCTCCACGCTACCGTCAACATTTAGTTCATTTGACAATTGTAAGGGTTACCGGGTCTTGTATTTCTCTGATATATCAAGAATTCTGCTAATTTTTCAGAAGGCATGTCAAAAAATATCTGCAAGTCGGTATCCCTACTGTATTACTACTAGTATATTGTATACTATATTAAGGTCATCACTAATCTTACCTAGAATACCTTTCATCGTTATCTGTGTTATTGGAGGTCTTATTGTCTTCTCAATTTTGTGGTGTTTTCTGCGCTGCTGCCTTTGCGGTTATCGGTGTTGTGCCTGCTGTTGCGGTGGCTGTGGAGGTCGCCGCGAGAAGCAAAAGAACCAACCTGATCGAGAGATACTACAGCCACCCCCGATCATAGTGCAACAGCCCGCCTATCACCAGCCTCCACAATACGCATATTTCGATAGTCATAACGACGACGCACTACCAGTCATGCCCTCCCTTGAGAAGACGCAACGTATCGAGATATCTGTGAATGAAGAGCACGAGATGGGCCCTATCAATGCTCAGGGCTCGAAGGGGTACGGATATAACCAGCCACCGGCAGATCTTCGCTTCCCGAACAGTGGCCTCCAACATCCGACACCATTACGGGGATATGAACAGAATGGTTATGATAGCCAAATCCAACATCCATCGAATCTTGGTTTTGAATCATCAATGCACACAACTGTTCCCCCGGCCCTTCAAGGCTTAAGACATCAAGAGGGGGGTATACCGCAACAAAAAAACATATCATATCAAGAGCCCTCAGGCTATCATCAACAGATGCAACCCGGTTGGAGTGGGCATGGGAATATGGAGCAAAATGCACACAACGATTATCAGACCAATCCGTACCAATATCAAGGATCGCGAAACCAATATGCGCCCGATGTTTCGAATTATCATAACCAACGGCGGCAAGAGGAGTGGACTGTTGTATAATTACATATCGAGAGAATTTTTAAATCCTCCGAAGACAGCTATTCCCAGGTTTTTGTAAATAAACTCCTTCGGCAATACTCATATAGGGTCACGTTCACGCTTTTTTATGTACACATAATCTCAGGATTCGGAGGATGGTTGCACTAAAGACACTACTTTTGTACGTAAACCTTATTAATAGCTTATATACTGAACCGAATTATGGGCAGTGCTCGACCCTTTCGCCAACCAACCACCTATGTCCCTTGGGCCCTCGGTCCCACGATACTTTAAACTAGTCAGATATCGAGTTTGTGATATCAAGAACAACAGCTGTAAATAGCCTTTCACGACCTATCCCTAGTTCCAAATTAAAACATTCGATGATAGCTGCGTTTAATCACCTTGTCCCAACACTTCGAAGTATCGTGACCTCTACCTTCGGTCTACATTTTTGGCATCCGACTTGGTGATGGAAAGGATTGTTCAATTATATAGTTTAAGATAGGGCCAACACCAATCAGGTCATTAAAAAAAATGGCTTTGGCTCAACCTTTTTAAGAGCTCTAACGTCGTATAACTTTCCGCGGTATCAGGTTTCTGGATACAATAGGTCTAAGGTAGATGAAAAAATATCTATATGAGTTGGAATTTAGGCTTTTTAAAAATTGTATTTGAGAGCCATTATTGACAGGAGCCAGAGCCGGAAATTCTAGACATTTAGTGAGCCAACCAATCAAATAAGTCAAATTAACTCTAGCTCCAGCCCATATACATCCGTATCTTGCCTACTACGACTGATCGAGCATCGAATTATCTAGATGGATGGAAGAATTGCATGAATTCTCAAATAGCGCGCGCTGTCTGGGGTACCAGTACTTTTAGGCACCTACATGTACAATATCTACCTACTCTACTCTACATGTACCAACATATAGCTTTTGGCTTCATATCAGATCCAGGGCCACGCCTGTTCTTGCATACGTCATGATCGAAATTCATATGGAAATCTTTATTTTGCATGTTATCAGATTGTACTTTACATGTGTCAATGACTAAGTTTCCTAGTGTCAATGATCTTACTACAGAATAAAGTGATTATTACCTGAGTTGGAATAGTACTAGTACCGCATTAGCTCTATGCATTGATTAATAATCTTGCTAGCCTGTTAATAGTAGTTGGAATTTCTAAGTTGGTGGTTGGCTAGTCTATTACACCCACTTTGGTTAGATACATGTACATACACTTATGAATTGCAAGAGAGTAGGATAATCCAACGGCCACAATTACAATATATTTCTTAGACAACGCATCCAACAGTAAAAGATTTTCTTACTTCATGTTAAGTCGATCTAATAAACGATGTATGTAAGTAGTTCGGCCTTTAGAGTACAGGGCTGAAAATGACTCCCGACACCTACATACATAGCTCTCCACTCAATACATGTGGGTATGAAACAATGTACTACATACGCCTACCGGGGTAAATCTATTGACAGTGGGCCGTGGTTGCAATTGTTCACTTTCAACAGTATATTATATACACCCTTTGTAAATTCAACCTGCATTTAATACAGCAAGCTGAAAGGGCTACGTCTAGGATGTAATCCTCTAACACTGACATGTAAAGTATATATATACATGTATGCGTATACCTACATGTAGTCAGAGCTTTTGACAAACCAAGGGATTACGACGTCACTAGTTAAAGTAAACGAATTATTTATGCACCAGGTACTTGTACTCTGGTTTGGTTGTGGTATAATTGAGCAGGGGTTCGGCGTTTTTTTTTTTTTAAATCATTTCAATTTCTGTTTCGAGGTACACAATGATCGCATAAAGTATGCAGGGGTTCGGCGTTTATGACGTCCTTATTAAATTATGCCCGGTTTTTACATAGACAGGCACGATCATTCTCAGCCAAGTCATTCACCATCCATCTCTGGGGTCTCTGTGTAACTGCGAATCGAGATGTGCGTTAAGCAAGAGTCAAATGCTTCACTTTCGAGTTTTGCTAGTATGTGTATAAATACTGATGGCAATTCCTCCTATCTACTTTTACTTGCGCCCCTTTAACCAACCTATCACGAAACATCTCACCGCCAGCCCCGATCATCATTATATTTTCTACCAGGACTCCTGTATAATTACAACATACAAACCCACCTCTCTCCTTCTTAGGCAAAATCCTAACTCTCGTTGTTCTTGGTGCCAGCCTCTCTGCAGTAGCCTCATTATCATTCAGCCCTTCACTCTACATCCAAGGCTCTGCGAAATTTTGTCTACATTATGTGTTTGATCAGCAACCGAGATGAGGATGAGCGTATCCCGACACGGGAGGTTCACATTTATCGCGATGGATCAATAGAGCGAGAATACCCGGCTCGAAGAAGTTATGCCTCAAGTCATGCAGGCTCCACAACCCGAGTGCGTCATGTCTACCACACTCACTCTCCTCGCACTTCACATACTTCAACCTAGAGAACTTCACAACCAGTTGTGATCGTCGATAGTGGGAGGCGTAGATCTCTCTACTAGCATGCAATCTGTTGAAATTGACTTTCTTTGGATGTCTGTAATTGGTTAGAAATCCGTCTGCTCTTTAGACTCTAGGGGCCGGGGATTCGACATTTTGTGGGGATATATCAGAATCTTTATGTTGTTGGGTCAACGGCGGGATATTAAATACTGTCCTGGCTTTAAAGTCGTGCCCAGGATGCCATTTTTTTTTTGCAGCTATTTTGTATCAAACAGTACTCTTATTTTAAATTTAATCAAGGTCGTACATCTAGGATCTACATACATATATACCTACCTCAAACTCAATTATTCAAAATAGCGTCCAGTCCCTGTTTAGATACAGAACGCCACGACTTGGTATAAGGTCCTACCGGCATATAAGCCCCCCGTTCTTTATTTCACTAGGATTATACTCTAGCAAATTAATTGGGGCTTCTATGCGCTCATTCTATCCACTCTTTTATAGTCATAGCGACAAGAATACAGTGTCCAAGGGAGACTCAAAAAATCTTTGAACACCCATATGTATATATCTTTGGCAAGTTGGGGGATTTTCTTTTTTCCCTCAGAAAACCCTTATACATCAATTCCTTTCCTTTCTTCATTTTTTCGCAAATATCTGGGCCGAAATGTTAACTACGAGAGAAATACATGTATATCCGCACTATCTTGCTCGACAAAAGGTGCTAACCTGCGTTTATTCATGAATTTTAATTTTCCACAACTATTTAGTACAGAAATTTGGATAATACAACTTCTGTTCTCCTGTTCTTACACGGCTGAACATTATTACAGAGCCTCTCTAGGAAAACCCAGCCCTCTGAACAATCAATCCATGGGATTGAGTTGTACAGAGCAGATCAAGTACTCGAAAAGACGACGGAAAGACCGAAACAAAACAAAATTGTGACAAGAACAAAAGCATCAACGACCAACGACAATACCAAAGGGAAAAAAATGTTAAGTGGAAAATCGAAAGTGAAGAGAATGAAAAGATAAAAAGAAAATTACTAATGATGCCTCAGAACCAAATCGAGCGGGACCGAGTTATAGGCTAACCGGCAGCCATGACCTTCCTTCGCTGGCCAAACGTGCAATTATTCCTTCAAAATTATAACAGCAAAGTTTGAGGGATTCTTTAATTCCTGAGAAATCCCTACTCCCGGGCTCTCTTTACCGGCCTGAGCGAAGAACCGACCTCTGGATTATCATAAGAGCTGTCATTGGAGAGATCTTCATCGCCGAGAGCAGATGAGAGCTCGCCAGGCCCGTCAAATTTCTTTCCTTTCCAATCTTTCCGTTCAACAAAAGGTGATCCCAAATTTCTAGTGCCCTCTAGTGAATCACGGAATGGGTCAGAAAGCATCTCTCGAGATGCAAGAGGACTTAAGCTCTCGTTATCGTTGGGAGAATCGTATGAGACCGGCCCAGTGACAGTCAGAAGCGGGGCCAGTGGGCGATATCTTCTTCGACTCATGCTGTTTCCACAACTCGAACCAATAGTATAACCCCTGGTACGTGTTCGCGGCGCTGTCGACACAGGAACTGGCTCACCAAAGAGATCGCCAATGGTTCCTCGCCTGGCCCTTCTCGGGGGCGGCAACGTTACCGATTCATCGCTTGATTCCGGTTCCTCTTGACGTTTTTGTCGTCGAGGCCATGTACCATACACAGACGCAGAGATACTTAGCTCCAACGGGGGCAAAAGAACAGGCGTGTTAAATGCGGATCCATTCGGTGGTGAAAGTGATGGGTCGGTGCCCGAAACCCACAACGCACTCGCGAGCGACGTATTGTTCTGTGCCACGTTGAATCTGGAACCTCCAGATCCTAACTGGGGCCCCATATTTACAAAACTTCCAGCCCCAAAACCCAAAGCGCCTTGATCATTATTATTTACTCCAGAAACCCACCCAGAAACACCTCCGAAATTATCGCCAGAACTCCTCGAACCAATCGCCATATCCGCATCAACATCGTAACCAGCGGCAATAGCTGCCAAGACACCGTTCGGGTTCATCGTTGAAGCCGTACTCGTCGTTAAAGAGAGAGCGATGCCTCGAGTTGAAAATAATGCGTCACGTGGGCCTAATCTGTTTGATGCGGTCGGTTGATACGGTGATGGGGACACGGTAGATCCTCTCGATGGTAAAATTCTTGACGTCGACGTAGGCCGACGCTGCTGGTGATAGCCATGATGAGGATTACGGGATGGTCCATAGTTCTGCCTGCACAACTCTCGGAGTCTTTTTCGGGTTGAGCCTTCCGAAGCCGGCCAAGAGTGCGGTGAGGTTTTCCGCAAGACATCGCCTCTATTACCACTGGCACCCGTGTCCTTTGCCGGGGTGATGAATCTTTTCTGTCTTGTTAATGGGCCTTTCCACCCATCTCCCATCTTTGCCTCCTTCCAAGATCTTTTGGCTTCCCTGGCAACTTTATGGCATACACCCAATGGCGGAACCTGGCCAGGTAGCACAAAAAATGGTGTAATTTTTGGATCTTGCTGACATAGTACATATGTCCTCCAAAGATGGCCATCCATATCTTCAGTCCATTTAATTTTCCGCAAGCGCGATTTTGCATTGGACTTTCTTTTATCGCCCGTCTCGCCTGTCTTTCTAGCATCATTGTGCTCCTTTGGAGTTGCCTCGTCTGGAAAGAAACTAGACTCGGTCTCTGGACTAGTACAGCTTCCACCAGTAGTCGTAAAGGTTGTCAGGCTGTCAAAGGACGAATCAGACGATGAAGAGTAATTTGAGCATGACGACTCTGGACGAGTGATATCTTCCAGTTCCTTATTATTTGAGTCATTCTTTTTATAGGGACGGACTGCAGTGGGAAAGTTGGTGAATAATTTTGCCAGTGGTGTACGAGGTGGTGAGAGGAATCTTGTTGGCCTTGGTGTTCGAGGCTGGGGTGACAAGAGTTGGGCGGGAGGCGTTGATGGGCAGTCCTCCGCGTCGAAGTCTTCTGACGATGGTGGGGCGAGATATGCTCTATCAATCACCGGCAAGGCCGGCGAGGACTCCATTGGTCTCGAAGGACGGGACAATCTTTCCCCAAATAACATTTTTTAACAGCAGGTTTTTTTTGAATGTGCTAAAACTGCTCTTTGTGGTAACGATCAATTGGAAGATATACCCCTCGAGTAAACCAAATAGGTAAAAGGTAAAAACAGTTCCAGAAGGTCCAAGCTGTCGCGAAAATTACAACACCAGAGACCAGGTAATTTATTGATTATATCCTAGATTTGACGTGCTCCGTAGGGGGTGGGTATGGTATTTCTCGTAAAGTCGTTAAAACAAGTGAAGTCGTATCAAAGGAATCGTTTCAAAACGTTCATATCAAGCTGTAAATAGCTAATCTGGGGGGGTATATCGTTGCCGTTTTTCGTTCTTTTCGTTTCGTGGGAACCCTTTTTTGAAAACCCCAAAAAGTCTAAAAGAAAATTGAAATCCCCGGAAAAAAAGCAGACCCTGGATATATATAGTTTGTCGCAAGAAGGAGAAATAAGAGAACAAAAACAGATGTCGTTGAAGCAAATCACACACACACCGACACACACACTAGAAAAAAGAAGACGTGGGCTTCGTTGATATAAAAAAAAGGCGCTGGAGCGAGAATTGAAGTTTTAAAGACCAACAAAAAAAAAAACAGGAGAGACTGAATTTGGAGGACAGGCGCGGGAGGAGGAGGATGGGGGGTGTTTGTAGCTGATATAGGCCCGACTTGAGCAGCTATGTAGCTATATAGCAGGAGAAGGGCAAACGCGCGCGTTGTTGTTGACAAGCTGCACACACACACAGGTAGGTAGCAACCGAGTGAGGGCAAGTGCAAAGAACCCGTTTCGTTGACTTTTTTTTTTCGTAATAACGGATCGCAGGATCAGGGACGCGACAGACACAACCTTGGAAATAGACAGCGGCAGCGGCAGCGCAGCTGATAAGGAATGCGCGGTGCAAAGTAAACCCAACACGAGCAAACTCCCAAGGAAAGGAAAAAAACTAAAATCAAAACAAAAAAAAAGGGAGGAAGGAGTAGGAGGAAGGGAGGGGCGGAGGGAGGGGAGGGGAGGTTAGGTCGGAGTGAGAGAGTGAGGAGAAAGGGCAAAGCAAGAAACGACCCAAACCAGATGCGGCGTACAAAAAAGAAGAGACAGCCGCTATCAGTAGGAGTAGTAGCAGGGAGGTCAGATAAGAGTGAGGGGGGAGAGGAGTGAGTGGGCAAGGGGGTTAATTGAAAGCGGAAGCAGCAGCAGTAGAGGGGGGTGGAGAGAGCGATATTGGGATGCCCTCTACCGCGACGATCGAAACGGGCGTATGTGGGACAGGGCAGGCGGAGTGGGTTTACCTCACCTGCCTAGCTAGCTATTCTGCTCATGGGAGAGAGAGAGAGAGAGAGCAGTGCTACTTACTACTGCCTATTGTTGGTTCTCTACCTCCACAGCTAGGTGAAGTGCGTTTCTTATGGTACCTCCCTTGTCTTAGGTACCTACATCTTTGTTTCTACAGTGAGGCCTTTTCAGGTGTTGACAAGCCAGGATTGAACGAACTACTCTACTGTTCACCTGGGGTTGCATGAGGTACCTACGTAGAGGTTTGTGGTGAGCATGAGGGCGTGCTCTAGAATCAGCGCTGACATACAGGGAAGGAATAATAATAAACAATAGAAATGCCTCCGGCGGTGATGATTCGCCCTGCTGCATCTTAAGACGGAGGGGGCAGGTACATAAGTACTCTATCTAGCAAGAGCAGAGTAGGGAGATGTTCTGTGACCCTCGGCGCCGGTACCAATGATAAGGAAAACGGAAATCGTGAAGAAAAAAAAAACAGAATTGTTTTGCCTAGTTAGCATTTTTCGAATCAGGCATCTCTGTATATAAAAAAACGATGCAGTGCCGCAGACCGTCTCCATTGGACCCAAACACCATGCATGCCTACTTTTTCCCACCCCTCCTGCCTTGGTCCTTTCCGTGTACGGAGCAATTGTCATTGGAGGGAGGGGAGCTGGCCACACCTTTTTCCACATGCGACATCTAATAATGTCGATATACGGTACAACCAGCAGCAGCAGCGTGTGTATTTCGTGTTTCCCCCCCCCCCCCCCCCAAACCTCTGTCTGCTCTGTGTGACCCTGACCCCCGGAAGAAGAAGGGGAAGAAAGAAAAAAGTTTCTTGTTTATTTTACCCGTGAAAGGTAAGGTAGGTAGTGGGAGGGAAACATACCTACTCGAAGCATGTAGTCAGTACTCCCCTCTCTAACTACTACGAGAGAGTGGAAAAAAGCATCCTTTAAAACAGCTCGTCACTTGACATTCGGATGAGGTCTTCCGAAACAGAGCCAAAGCTTAAAAAGACACCCCTCCCTCCTTCCATCACATCACATCACATCACGAACGCACATGACATGCACAACAAAAAGACAAAAAAGGGTAAACAACAACAAAACAATCAACAGTCAACAACAATAACAATAACAAAACTGCTGTGTGGACTCGATTTCTACGCAGGATGATGATGAGATGTGGAGTACTCTGCCCTGTAGGTAGCTGTAGGTACTCTACCAACCACCCCACTACTAGAGTACAGCCCTGCACATCGCATACGTAGCTAATGCTCAATGGGGGCCCCGGGGGGAGTGAAGCACAAACCTCAGCGCTAACCCAACGGGCTGGCGGGGGGAGGGATCCAATGAAATTGTCCTGGGCAGTGTTGTTTTTGCTTTTGAGTGGACAGAACGATGTGTAGAGAGCATGCAATGCGCATACCGACGTTCATCGCAGAAAATATCGTTCGAGTGGTTCCTCCCTACATAGCAAGCTATAGTAGTGGCTAGCTAGGATGTTCTAGATGATCCCGTCTGGAGGGTTCGATGCTGTCACTCCTTGGACCAGTTCTCAATTCAGGCTGTAGGCAAGCCAGACTAGCACTGATCAACAATCCATTGGAGTTTTTGCTTTCTTTTTCTTGGCTTGAGGGCGTTTATGGGACAGAATTCTCTCTCTTTTTTTCTCTCTTTTTTTTTCTTGCAAAATCTTTGTTCGACGCGGTACGTGTTTACGTGCTTGCGTCTATTTCTGCTCATGACATGTTGTTCTGTCTCTCTCTCCGGGCCAGTCCCCGCGAACGGATCTTTAATGGGGATCATCGTAGGAGCCTATGGAACGCGCGCTCCGTCGAGTATTATCGCGTCCGTTCGTTGGTGGAGAATTCAAAACAAGCCCACAGCTACGACGATATGTCGTTCCGGATGATCTTCAAATTAAGTTTCCGCGTCACGGAATCGGTCCCCGTCACCATGTATCACTCGCAGCAATGGGTGGTGGGAGGTTGGGTGTGCGTGTGTTGTCGATCACCATTAAAGCAGGCGTTATTTACAGACCAGTTAATTTGGAGATGAGTAGGTACTCAAGTTCATGTTGAGATAAAAAGGGTCTGTTGATAAATCCGCTGTCGTGCAAATAGGCAGACAGCGGCGCACGGGCCAGGAATGCGGCTCTTGCTCTTCGCTAAGGCGGCGCGGGGCAAGCAAGCATTGCACGGGCAGCACGCACGCATCATCGATCAGATCTTTTCATGCGCAGCGAGTGCAGTGCAGCGCAAACATGGCTGTCCCCAGATGCAACATCCTGGCGCAATCTAAAGCTTAACATTAAGGTATATATATTAGCTACATACATCACATGTAGCCTGATATCAGACCAAACTCAAATCTCGAGTCCCAGGCTGCGATATAACGGGTCTGCAGAGTGCTGTCAATCGAGTAGAATATATGCAGCAATATTAGCAGGACAGAGATTCGACGGTGTAGTGAGATCCCGTGCTGCTCTGGCTGAGAGATAAGGCATCTCGCAGTATAAAAAGACGTCTTTCCCTCTGTTTCTGTTCTGCAGCCTGTTTCATCCACCAGCCGAACCGGAAGGTTTATTCTCTTCTCTTCCCTTTTCTTCTCTTCTCACGACTTTTAGACTTCCCGTCCCACGCTGTACGCGCACCGCCGAGTAGCCGTCATTCGCGCCAGCTTGCAAGTGCTGAAATTAAGGTCGAGAGCCATCTGGTGCTACCGGTGCAGTCATCATCATCATCATCATCATCATCACCATCATCATCGTGCATCGTCATCCATCCATATCCCCCCATTTCCCAACACGGGCATCACTGTGAAACTCGTAAGTCGCTCAACCATCAACACGCCTTCACATGAGCCGACGGAGAACCCGGCAAACCCGACAAATATAAATTCAGGATGCACCAATCCTAGTCCTGCGCCTCCAGGCCCACGTTGCCGGCACAAGATGTTTCATGAACCGGACATCCGGGGGGAGGTAGATACCCAACCACCATTACCGCCCCCGCCTGCTTGAAACCCAACAGAGCAGCAGCACCAAAGACCGCTCGTCGGCTTTCGGAGACCGGGATTAAATGACCCCGCATCATATGCATGCCGGGAAACACGGTCGCATGGTCTTGCGGTATCATGCGCGCGCTTGAGACCTTCCCTTCATGAGCTGTCATTCGGTTGTGCCAAGACCACGGCCCTGTAATCTTCTTTGTTTCGGATGCGCATCGATACGCTTGCCCATACCGGATATATAGTGTCTCGGCGGGCGTTTCTGTTGATGTTAGTAGTGGAAGTGCAGAAATGTGTAGATTCGGGCCGGGCTGGAATTGCCTTCGCACGGAGAACAGACGGTACTTAGTAGGTCATTAGATACGCCTATCCCTATATAGAAAGATGGTGGGTTGGATCGAAGTATAGGAGAGAGCGGGCTGCTATAAATACATATAGTATGGCGTAATATCACAGATACATAGCCCGATAGGACGTTAGAGTTAGATTCTCAATGTGTTAATGTAGGAAGACTCAATAGGTATGTAGTAGGGTGGATGGTTCTGTTACGAAGGAGAATAAAAACCTATCATTGAACATATACACCACTTCCCTTTGGTATCGGATTGACTGCAATATTCTTCTGGCACAACCCATCCTCTACCATGCAGCCATATATGCTCAAGTGATCAGTAAAACACCTTAAGGACTCTACATGCAGATATATCACAAGACCTTGTCAATATTTGACGTTGGATTAGCCCGATGTATGTCCGGCCTTTTCAAGTCTTTTAACGCTGATTGACTGAACAAGACTCTATTTGCCGATTTATCTCCGCGGGGGCTCCGCCTATAGCCAATGCGTACTGTTTTGCAATTTGGTTTACGTCCTATCAGCGTTTTTTTATACACAAAGGCAGAAACGTATGGCTGGAGAATAAGGCTGTAATAACCATTCGTTGCCCGAGTTCCCAGGTGGCCCGGACATAAGTGCATGGTCAGTCTAGCAGTTTCCATTGAAAAGTTTGCCAAAGAAAATCATTCACTAGAAGAAGTCGTCTTTGTCACTAGTGCAGTTCATACTCAAGCTTAACAATGTTCTGGAAAAGCGTCCACGTCGGTCACCACTTATCACTCAAGCGTGCTGCGCGATACTTATTCGGGGAAAATTGGGATTTCTTATATTGTGAAATATACTTAGCGATCGGTTATGGAAGACCGTTCTATAGTTGAGATTGCGAAAGCTTCCACCTTAGTTATAAGGATCATGAGATAGCTGCGAACAATACTAGTTCGTAGCTAGATAAATATAAGAGCATTAGACACCAAGTCAATGCGCATGAAGCCTAGCATTGATTCAATGAAAACGGTCTGTTCACAGATAATTAATAAGACAAGGAGTGGTCATAGTCTTTTACGTTGCGAGCCGGTTAATCTATCACACTAGTGCCTATTATCGTCCCCTGACCCGGCCGGGCCGGTCCCAAAGACTCGGTGACAAAAGTCTATGGTGTACCTACCGGTAAAGATTCCCCCGCCGGTCGAGCGGTAACACTGATTGATCGCGTGCCACCCAGAAGTGCGAAACGTCCACCTGCCGGCAAACCAGCCTGAGAATATTCGCCAATTGACCGGCGCAAGATCGAAATGTGATTTCTTCGTTTTATTACATCTCATATAAAGTACACGAAGAATCGGGTTGTCAGAAGGTCTTTAGGGTTGGGGTAGCATCTGGGGAGTCGGGATTATGAGGCGGTAAAAATTTGTGTGGTCTCCGCGACGACGATGTCCGGGATTGAAATGGTCCATATTGACCTAATGACTAAGATGAATTGGGCCGTTTTCCTAGTAATAATCCCAGAAGCCCTTCTCATGGTAATGACAAAGGCTTGATACTAGAAATACCGTTACTTAGGGGAAGAATCTACTTGCTTTGGGGTTTTATACTACTACCTTTCTGGCCCATATTTTTCTATTTAAGGTGTCCCATAGACTCACATTGGCCATCCCAGCCCAATCTTCCAGCTTTGACTGGCCTGGCCGGGCCGAGTAAATCAGGTACCAATGCGAGCCAGTTGACTTCATGGGCCGTTTTAACCTCTGGTAGTTTATGCTCTTATAGTGTTATCTCATTCTTGAAATATATCTTGCAGAGAAGGTAGCTACAGTTAGATGTCAAAGCGAATCGTGTCCCAAGAATAATTAGCTTAAACTTCTCTCTCAACCAAAACTCTTCAAGCTTTCATTGCGTGGACTTCCCGAAGACTCTTCAGACCGCATGATTGCCTTCGGGAAGTGCACACTACGAAAGCTTGAAAGTTATGGCTCACATATAACATGAAGCCTTTTCTAAAGAGGGTCTCAAAGCCCATCAGCTACTTCAACGGCCCTCAGAGACCTATAGGCCTAACCAACTCTCTGTTTGACTGGGCTGACACCCATACGCTCACTTGGAGCAGATACTGAAGGGTTCCAAAACCGGTTTTTGAAAAGAAATGATCTCCTATAAAGTATGCTAGAAAATCTCAACTACCAACTAGGGTTACATCTCGCTTATTAGCATGCTACATAATAGTTGTCGCATTGCCAAGAGATATTGGAGTCGAGTGATGGGTCATGATGCAGAATCTTTCCAGCTAGAAATGTTTATTAGATTTTTGTGGAAACCGGGTCGAGAAAAAAATTTCCTTGATATGAAGTTGACGGAGTTGGTGGTCACGGTGGCGGGGGGGGTCGTGGTGGTGAAAGTGGTGGGGTGATTGGTGGTTGAGGAGACGGATGATGGGGCAAAAAAAGAAGAAAAGAAGAAAGAAGAATTCTGGGGATTTCGGTGGTTTTATTCTCTTCTACGCCAAACTAGCGTGCGGCTGGTGGGGTAAGGGCTGATGTTAGGCCAACGAGCCGCTTCTCAGGACTGAAGTTGGAGACTGGGAATCGGTACTAAGACGAAATGGCAAGGCGCTGCCCTGCAAGCATTGCCGTCCAAGTATTATTTCCGGCCGATAACACACACGGGCGAGTGGCCCAACGGTTATCACTCGCCTTCCGGACGGACACCGAGAGGTTGTGCCTTGCCTTCGATTGCAGAAGGTCCAGGGTTCAATCCAGGGGTGGGGGGTAGTAGATATGGCTGGACCATCAATGCTACCTTTTGTTCTTTTTATCTACAGCTACTTTTTGCTGCGGAAATTCGAAATGCGGGATCGCTTACTCTCCCGTAGAAAATACTGGTCTTCCTACTGTAGAATAAATTTGCTAAAGCAGGCCGTGTGCTCTACGTCTTGAGAACAGATAGCCATTCAGAGAGAAGGGTGCACCACCGAATCGCCCGAAAAGGACCCAACACCCTCTATAGGGGACTAGAGCAGATATATATCTCTAGTAGTTCCAATTGTATAAATTTCTTGACCTGTAAGTTTCTCCATACTCATTCCCCCACCTCTCTCCGAAAACAACGACACGTTCCATGGGATTTGGCACCAAAGACATCGATCACACAACCTTGGTATAGACTTGAGCTAAATAGTGTATGTATTGCGATAACTGAGTAGTATTTGCCAGCTGTTTTGGTCATCATCCGCTTGGAATAGTGTGTCCAAGCGTATCATCACGCCACTGTTTGACTCCCAAGCAGTTGCCATGAGAACAACGACTTCTCTCCCTAAAGGGGTTCTAAAAGCTAGCCTAGTGGGAGTCCGACCACAACTGCAAGGTGGTCTTAGTAACAGTGTCCACAGTCTGGCTCAACTAGACGTGTCATCTTTATCCGTATAAATAGAGAGGCTTTCATCCTCCTTCGTAATAAAACCATCCATCCTATTATCTACGAGTCTTCCTACAAAATCTGCCTTTTGAAACGAGTGGACTGTATCCCTGCCCGACCTCTACGTAATATTTAGAAATGAGGACAGCGAGTGATATCTCGTGACCGAACATCAGAATGGAATAGTTCCCTGTCTCCGGGTTTACTTCCATAACTGCGGTTTTTGGGCGAGCTAGAAAGGACCATCAATATTGACTGGATTCCGGTGGGAATATTATATAATATAGACCCGGAGCAGTCCTCTTTCCCGGCTGCGAGTATCCAAACAACTGGCCTTGACGCTGCATTACCCTTGGCCATCCGCCCATCATCATCTAGCTAGCTGTCTGTCTTAACGCCTATAACAGCCGAGCGCCGACGGCATCCAGCTCGCCGTGTATAAGTCGGGGATGGTTCTCTTTTCAGTCCGCACATATCACATGTAGAACCAGACTCGGGAGTGTCGGGGTGCATACCCGCACCTGCCTGCAGCAGCACAAGGTATATAAGACGAACTGTGGCACCACAGATATGGTACGTAGGTACTGAAAACCCGGATCCCTTCAGAAACCCGAGCGGGTTCTTTGCTATATGTATATACTAACATCATGGAGGTAGAGCCTCTCGATAGAGCCCATTCCGGGCCCAAAAATCCAGTACGCCGCCGCACGGGACTACCGATCCCCGGGCGAAAAGGTACTACAACAATCTCAGCAGGCTGCAATGATAATAGCAGCATGATATTCAGAGCCACTATCAGACTCTCGGTATGCGCAGATACGAAAACACAAAAGCACACGTTCGCGTTCTTTACAGTGCACATACACAAGTACAGCAAAACCTATCATAATTCCACCCCCGTGGTGGTCGAATTCCGCTGGAATTATCGTAGGGATGGAATTTAGAGAGAGGCCTTTGTTAGCAAACTACAGGTATCGTTCCCTCCAACCGCTGGAAGTTTGGTAGGGATAGAATTTCGAGAGGGTGAAATTATGATAGGTTTCTCTGTAAGTGCTTTCTCGCTCTTCCTGCGTGTGATTCTAGCCAGGACGAAGCATACACATACAAGGAGGCCATTCTCGAGCAACTATGTCTCGTAGAACCATATCGCTCGCAACGTTCCACAGCCAGGTCCCCACAGTTGCACCAATGCTACTGATAAAACCTCATCTTTCATTTCCTGCCCATTCCAACGACGCCAACCAGTCAGCCTCACAACAAGATACGCCTCCATTTACACAAACCAACCAACCAACAAAGAGAGAGTGACAGAGAAGCAAGAAAAGATAGAGAGATAGAGATAGGTGAAGAGGAGATAATCGGTGTTTAAAATAGTTCCGCCCCCGCCCCGCGCTCCCGCCTCTAGATCTGGCCCCAGTCCATTCCGTTCCGTTTCCATTCGTTCCAGCTATAAAACAAAATAAAAGCAAATGCACCCAGGATGATAAAATAAAAACTAATAACACGCAGACCCCCCGTAAAACAAATGATCGGACAAAAAAGAGAGTACAACAAAAAAAAAGAGAAGAGAGCAGAAAGAAAGAAAGAAAGAAAAGAACACAACTAATCTATCACCAACTCTATTGTTTTTTTCTTTCTTCCTTTCTTGTGTCCCTACGGGACACGCCTAACAACTACACTCGCCGCCTTCCGCAGCCTATTCATGATCGCGAGGCCCTCGTCCGTCTCCTCGACACCCTCAACATAGATAACATCCACCCCCAGATCATCCAGCTCCCTCAGCCCCGCAAACAGCGCCCTCGAGATGTCGCTCCCGTTCGTCCCTAGAGAGCGCTCAAAGACCGTCCACCTCTTGTCCTCGTTGGCGCCCACACCTTCGGGCCATGTTCTTGTCCTCAAGAACCCAACCCTTCCTGTCCATCCTGTACCCGCGACATTCATGGGCCGTATATTCTTCTGCGACGGCGGCTTCGCGCCATGCTCGAACAGCACAACCCCGGCACGCGGCGAATAGTGCTTGTACTTCATTCCCGGCGCCTGTGGCGCCGCATCGTGGTCTTCGGTGTCGGGTTTGCGCACAATGACGTCCTTCCAGACGCCACCGCATGCGCGGATCTGTTCTACACTGATGCCGCCGGGGCGGAGGACAACAGGGGGATTGTGGAGTCCGTCGACGACAGTCGATTCGAGGCCGACGTTGCTGGACCCTCCGTCGATGATGAGTGGGATACGCGTCTGCAGGTCAGTATATACGTGGGCGGCAGTGGTCGGCGACGGGTTCCCGGAGGCATTGGCGGACGGCGCGGCGAGCGGGAGTCCCGATAGTGAGCAGAGGGCAAGCGCTATCGGATGCTCTGGTAGTCTTGCGGCGAACGTTGGCTGCCCGGCGGTGACTGACGGTGAGAGTCGCGAGTTTGGCGGTAGCGGAAGTAGTATAGTAAGTGGCCCGGGCCAAAACTTTGCAATGAGTGGTTCATAGATCTCCGGGATGACGCCCTCCTGGCAGGCCTTGCTTTGGAGGCCGTGAGACGTGTTTGGCGGAGAGGGCGCCGGCGACGGCGGGGATGACGTGGATAGCTGGGCGGGTGGCAGGAGCTCCCGCAGCTGTCGCAGCGACGCTACATGCACGATGAGCGGGTTATCGAGAGGGCGCTGCTTGGCAGAGAATATACTCTTTACGCCCTCTGTGTTGCAGGCGTCCGCGCCGAGACCATACACCGTTTCTGTCGGGAACGCCACGCACTTTGACTGGCGCAGCAGCTGCGCCGCAGCCTTCAGGACTTCCTCGGTCTCTGGGTCGTCGATATGCACAGTCGGCGAGTCGTACGGATGCAGTGGTTCAGGCGAGGGCGTGAGCTTGATGCCGGACGGCGAGACCTTTAACGTCTCAGTGATGTAGGACGCCTGTCGAGCGTATGGCGGCGGTGTGTTTGCCATTGTGGAAGCTGGGGCGGCGACGACGGGGGCGGTGGCAGACGAGCGACGGCGGTTGTAAGGGTGGACAGCAGCCGTGGCCGAGGCCGAGGCCGTGGAGACAGAGACTGATGGGGGAGCCAGAGTGGATAGCGATGGGGAAGCGTGATGCCTCCGAGTGAGAAGAGTTTGTGTGGTAAAGGTGGTGAAGGTGGAAGTGAAGGTGGGGAGAGGGGACGCTGTCGTGTGGGCAATCGCTAACTGCGGTACGGCGTGGGTGCAAGGCAGGTACGCCAACCGGGTGCCTCTGCCGGTTAAGGTCAATAACGTGGGCACTTTTATGCAGCAAGCAGGAGACTGCCACTGCTTGCAGCTGATAAAGAAATTGGAGATGAGGGGAGAGGGATGTGGAGCCGGCAGTTGTGATATGATGTGAGAGAGAGCAAGTAGTGGAGCGAGTAGTATGTAGCTGTATTAAAGAAAGAAAGAAGGTTAATGTGAAGATAAACCGCAGAGTAGGAGGTATCTGGCCTGTACCGATTACGCTAAGAGCCAGATATCGATGATTGTCGCTGTGTAGAAGGCGAGGAAGAAGGCGAAGAAGTTCTTTTTTATTAGCCAATTCTCCGATTTCGAGAAGTGCAGTGGAATCCGACAGAACAGGACGGCAATCAAACAATGACACCTCGCCGTAGTGCAAGTAGCAAAAGAAGCAATAGTAATAGTAGCAGTAAGTCGTAGACTCGTAGTGGAAGTAGATAATGACCGAAATTAGAGGGTTGCGGGGGGGGGGGCCACCACCAGTGACCACCACCACCACCGAGTGAGAGAGAAAAAAAAAAAGACCCCTCCCCCTCCGCTCCCTCACTCGCATTGACTCAACCCACAGAGAGGGGAAAAAAAAAATTTACTTTTTCCCCCCAACCCAAGCCCAAGCCAAACCCTTCTCCCTCTTCTTGGTCTTTCGCTTCCCTGTCGGCTGTCTCCCCCCCTCCCCTCCCCTCCCCTCCCTCCCTCCCATCCACACATCCACACATCCACACATCCACACATCCACACATGCAATCCCACGGCTCCCACCCTCCTCGCTGGCTCGGCCTCTCCCTCCCCTGTCTCACCTCATTCTCTCCCCAATCCCAGATCTTCCCTGGCGCGCGACGATCCCCGCTGCCATCGATAAGCGAGGCTGCTCTAGCTCCCCTCCCCCTGCAGCCACATCATGTGACTGGCTGGGCCCTTCCTGTGCTCAACGGCCGTTTTGTTTTACACGCATTGTTCCCACCCTGAGGAATGTAGAGTATGTATTCTGTCTAAGGATCATGTAAAACCAATACCAACAACGATACCATGCAAAGCACACTTTAGCCTTCCAATGCCTGTGCACATCATGCCTTCTCCATTTATTTCCATACTCTTGGGGAAAAAAAAAAAACCCTAGCCCGGCCTTCCGGTTTCATCGCACTGGCCCAGTCCTCGGCCGAAATGAAGGCCGCACCCCAGCTTTGAGCAGTGGGTGAGTGGCATGAATACATTTGCATTTTACGGCCGAGTAAGCACAGACTTTCCTCTCCTCCTCTCTCCACGAGGGAAATGTAGATAAATATAATATATGTAGTTGTGGTTGTCTCGTGTTACTGCAGCAAGGGCCCTCCCTCACTCTATTTTCTCTCTTTTAATCCTAGACGATTACGACTGCAATTCTTTTTTTATTTCAAGATAAACGAGGGACGGCATATAACGATCAAGGTAGTACCAAGTACCAGTACAGGATGTTCAGAGACAGCTTAAGTACACATGGGGAAAGGGAATAAAAAGACACACACCACACACACACACATACAGAGGAAATGAGAAGTAGCAGCTGCAAAAGATAACCTCCGGCCGTCCTATCCCATGGTTCCCCTCTCTCAATTGGGAAGATGCACGCAGGCAGAACAAGAAAAAGAAGGAAAGAAAAAGGAAAAAAGGAAAAACTGCAAAGTGAACCAAAGACTCGAAAAGAAAAGAAAAAAGAAAAGAAAAAAAGCCTCCGTTTTGCCCAACCCACCCGGCTCATCCATCCGTCAATCATAGAAGTACACAATTCCGAAGTCGATCCTACTACATACTTATCACCGCTTTTCTTTCCTCTCGGGAAAGAAGGAAAAAATAAAGATCCGCGCCAAAACGTCTAGTTACAATGTCTATCCGTTTTTCGTCCCCGATATAATCCATCATTAGAATAAAAAGAGAACCCTTCAAGAATAATAAAGAAAACCGCGGCACCAACAAAGTATCAAAATCGCCTCGCTTCCTCTTCTTCTGTCAACTAATTATCCATAACCTCATCCATCCCTGTTGAAATGAAATGGGCTACCAAAAAAGGAAAGAAAGAAAAAAAAAAGAACTCCCAAAACTCCCCAAACCTTTGCCTAACAACCATCGCACTTACTTAAGCCGCAACAGCGCTGGCGCCCTCTCCTCGTCCGACACCAACCACAAGGTGCCTCTGCTGGACGCCCTCACCTTCCCTTTCTCTCTGCTGCTCAAGCTCCTTCTCCTTTTCTTCCTCCTCCAAAATTTGCTGCTCGTCTCTCTCCTCGGCCCATTCGCCCCACAGAGCTTTCTTGCCCTTGATGGAGATGTCGCCAAAGCCCTCGGTTTGCTTTACGCTGATGGCGTCTTTGGTTGCGAGCACGAGAACCTCAAAGAACATCTTTGTTGCGTCAGTCCGTGTTGTTGTGGCATGGGGAAGAAGCTCCAGAAATTTGGCGGATTTCTTCCCAATAGGCTCGGAGAATTGTTCACGGAGAAGGTGAACTGCTGCTTGTGTTTGCTTTGAGATGGGTTGAGTGGAAGTTGGGGGCATGTGGGATTCCTCTTCAGGCCCAGGTGAAAATGGTTGATCATCCTCGTCGGCGGCCATTGGCATGCCCGGGGTCATTGGTGCGTGTTCTGTTTCTAGGGTAGCTTAATCAGTACGGAACGTATGATACCGATCCTAGGACGGTGAAGACATAAAGGGGCTTACCAGCGCCACGGATGGAAAGCGTATCATCTCCCAGCTCGTGCTCGATCCTTGTTTCGTCCTCTGGAAGCATAAACATCTCGTCTCCAGCACCGCCCTCGTCTCCACTGCCCGCCCGCTCGTCTTCGTCCATTGGCGCTAAAATTTCCTCCTCGTCGTCAATGTTCAATCTGGGCTGCTTAGATGCACTGCGTGCCTCCTCGGCCACAACCTCATCTGGGTCCTCTCTCTTCCTCTTCAGCTCGGCCATCCTCTTGACAAACTCCGGGCTCAATAAGCTTGCTAGCTCGGGTGCGATGTTCTTGGGATAGAACACATTTTGCGCAAATCCCCTAGACTTCTGCAAGCTCAATAGCGCCAACAATGTTGGGTCTCTGGGCAAGAAGCTTGGCTCCCTCAAGATCTTGCTTCGATCCTCTTGTTGCGCCTTAATCTGGTTAGAGCGGATCTCAGTAACATCGTCAATTAGGACTCTTCGGCCTCTGACTGATCGCTGGTGATGAAGAGCTGGCTCTGGCTCTGCTTCCTCGCTCAGAGGACGGAGGGTATCGTCTAGATAACTCATATTGAGCATATCACCATGGGTCTTGATTTCCCCCTCAAGCTCACGGTCTACACTGCTACGGACAGAAGACAAAGGAGACGACTCTGCTCGCTCAAAGCGCCCAATATCAAGGCCGGGTGATTGAGCGCGAGGAGTTGCATCACCACCCAAAGATGGTGACCTTCTTTGAATCTCGCTCTGAGCGCCAAGAAGCGTAAGATCGCCTTCCTGTTCGTCGCCCCCGAAAACTAGATCCCCTCCAAATCCCATGCCAGTATCCTCATCGCCCTCAAAGCCCAATCTCAAGTCTTCCTCGAGACCAATTTCAGACTCTGGCTGCTTTGCAGCGTCAGAGAATCCCAAATTACCCGCATCATCCATCCTGATGTCTGACATGAGGTCATCCTCCAAAGGCGCCGGGGCCCTTCTTCCAATTTCCGAAGCAAAGTCGGATTCGGACAATAGTTCCTCACTCTTAGCTCTCATCATTGTTCTGACGGGCCTTGGGGTCGTCTCCTCATCTGCATCGACGTCAAGGTTCAAGTCATCGTCGAGTAGTCCGTTCTCAAAATCGCCCTGCGCTTCTGCTCCAGGTCCGCGACCACGGTCGATGGAGTCCAGGAAGTATTCGTCTGACAAGGTGATATTTGCATTGCTTGAAATGTGTGCGTCAGAGTCGAAAGGAAGTTGGCCAAGGTCGCCAAGGTCAAGCGTAGGGTCGGGGAGAAGTAGGTCGAGCTCAGTAATGACATCGGGTAGGGTGAGTTGTGCGGCGGTATGAGACGTAGCGCCAGCCGGTAGATCGACATTTCCAGGTCGGAAAGCCTATCAAAGCACGTATTAGTGGGGGAGGGGTAGGACTATGTGGCCAGATGGGGGGTATAGCCCACCATTTTGATCTTCATCAGAGCTTCATTGCAGTCCTCAAGTAGGTACCTGGCCTTTCGCGAGTAGATACGGACAACTCCCAAGAGCAGTTGACCACTCAGACGCAGGGCCATTGGGGCTTGATCTTGACCCACAATTGCGCCAACTGAAGTTTCGATATTAGATTGTAGAATATGGGTTTTGGAGAGTTTTCGCTCCAAATTGGCGCTGAGCCAAACACGAGCCAACGGCCCGGTTTTTGAGAGGAGGGTTTCGGAATAAAACATTTCGAATAAAGGGTTGTATGGTAAAACGAATCACACTTTTTTCTTTGGGAAGAGGAAGCCGCTGGCAATGAGCGGAAAAACGCGAGGTGGTAGGGAAAGCGCGTTGTTGTGGTTGCAGTAGCGATATGGTTCACGCGAGACGAATTTGGGGCGCACTAAAAATGGAGGGGGACAGCGAATCAAGTGGGCGGGGTGTTAAGCAAATCAGCCGAGATATGGATCGCAATCAAAATGGGAATCATGTACGAGAAGCGTGAACCATGGGGATAGTAATAACGGTGGGGAGTGTAGGAGTAATGAGAAAGGGGGGGGGGGGGGGGGGGGGGAGCGAGCTGAAGGGGGATCGGGTGAGGAACAACAGTCACAGGACAGCAAGAAGGCAGACAGGGACGGAGATGAGAAATGCGTGCGCGAGTGTATTTACAGGGACACGACAAGAGCGTTTGGCGGAATGTACGAGCGGAGCGGACTGGAAACGGTCGGGCGGGGCGGGCAGGTAGGTTAAATATTATGGGGGCGCAAGTGCGGGAGGAGTTTAAGAGAAGGCTGGTAAGTAGAGTACATGTATGCTTTGACTGCAGTCGGTTGGGAGGCGGTCAAGCGGCGCGTTGCGGCGACTCGGAGATAAGATGAGATCGTCAGATAAGGAGAGACACACGGCGGTTAAACTTGTCCGAGATCCCGTAGCTATGGAGAACATCAGTTTGCTATGAGAGCCATGGGTTGAAAGGAGAAAAGGGATAACTGCAGGGGGTACGAATACCTATAATGTAGCTACGTCCTTCTGTTGCACGGCGTGTGGCCCCTACCCTACTCAATAAATACACATTCATACTCTACTTCATTATTCTGAGATGGCACCTTCTATGCCTCTGGAGAATCATCAGAAACTAAATCTATCCTGCCTACGTGTTGATTTAACGTGTAGAGTAGAGTGAGTATATGTATGTACATGTAGTTACATGTAGGTATCCGCAGCTTTTTTTTACTGATACATATATCGAGTAAGAGAGCGAGAGAGGCCCCGTATGGTAATCGATTGGGCGGATTCTCAATACTTGTACATATCCCGATTCGTTATATTTCGGCTCTATTTCTCATTGGTACCGTTACCTGGGGGGACACACATCCTTGACCTTCATGTCTAAGTTAATTTTCCTATTAAGATT